TCCTGAGAGGTGTCGAGCTTGAAATTGCAGGAGGGCTGCAATCGCGATAATTCACTGCGCCGCTTCGTGCCCCACTGCCTTGTTGAGGCTTTGCGGCCGTTCTGGACCCCGTCCTCAGCTCGAGACAAGGCTTACACCCATTCAATCAACGCATGAGACACAGACTCACACGCACACGCACGCACACAAATTCGCAGAAACCCAACCTGTTGGACTAGCAGTGGCGTGCGGCAACTTTTCAAGCTCCAACAAAATCCTTCATGGCATTGCCACACTACTTAGTGCTGCGACGGAACTTGCTCCGAGGAGGCCGAAGTGAAGAGGCTTGCACAACCTGCTCAGTCCACAGGTTTCCATAGCAGCTCGCAAGCACCACTTGCTGTTGTGATGAGATCTGGGCCGACTGGAATGAAGGCATGACATGTCCGACTGCTGCAGGCCTTCGTCGACAGACCGATGCCTCCAAAGGGCATGTCCTCTGAACGAATCTAAGTGTCACTTTCTGGGCCTCTGTGCATCACGCGTGTGAAGATGCGATGCAGGAATGTGCTCAGTGTCACCTCGCCGCCACGCTTCAAGGCAACAAGAGATTGTGTGCATTAGTGTCCACGAAGATCACAAATAGCTGCTCCAGTAAGTCAACCCTGCATGATCCAAGCCGCGACTTGTGCAGGTGGAGGCATGAGTATCACCGTTGCTGGAGGACCGCCGCGACGAGATTGGTTCCTTTCAGGGGGCGGGATTGGAAAAAAGTGACCTGCAGACACTGAATGAGCCTCCCGAGAGATGCGAGCAGGGAGTGAACGGCTGCGTACTCGAAACTTACCTGAACTCAAGGAACTGCAGCGGCTTGGTCAGGGAAGAGCCTATCGTACTAGTGGAGCATCTTGTGCCTGCTATATCTGCGTCCCACATGACAAGCCCAGAAGCTAGCTCCCTCCTTTCTTCAATCTACATAATTACATAGGACTTAAAAGGCAGTCCAACTATCCTTTCAAGCAGCCTGTAAATTGATCTTCTTCCTCTCCTTCTGACAATTGGTCGAAGTTGATCTTGTATTCAACGTCGTTGTTGGCCGCCGCAAACGTCAAATTCCTTGTGATTCCAGACTGCCGAACTACCGCTCAACGGAACAGTGCACTGTTCTACGCGGTCATTCCCGACCTCGTGCCACTGCATTGTGCACTGTCTGAGGCAGTTAGTTCATCATCAAGCCAAAGCTCAAGAACTCAGATGTGATGCGCTCTCGCTGGAAACGCGAGGCAACGGTGTGCCGAGCCTGCTGAGACTACTAGAAGAACAGCGACAGCAAGTTCGGGAAGCTGCTTGGGGTCCATGATTGGCGATTGCTCAGGTGCGGAATGGGGCAGATGACTTCGTGTTTGCCAACAAACTGCCATATACTGCCTCGAACGTCCCACATGCAACCATCCATCCGGGCCCGTGTATAAATGGGGAGTTGAATCAAGGTCCACCCGTCTCTCGTGCAGAATCGTCGGAAACAAACACAGCAGTGACCCAACTACGACAAACACCCCGCGGATTGATCGCTTGCTGCTGTGCGCCATACGCCGCTTTAGTTTTGCTCTGGCCGGATTTTGGCTTTTGTCATTTGTGTTCCTGATAAGTCCCCCTGGAGGGAGTTGTTATTCATGGTAAGACTTGATACTCTTCGATCCTGCCAGGATACCTCTTTGACTTTCTGGCTGGTCTTGTGAGGCTCTGGCCTTTCCAGTTTACTCAACACGAGCCTCAGACCATCGCCGGGCCGTTGAAGCGACGGATTCATCTCTTCTTCCGTCTCGCCTCTCACTGACCGACCCGCCCTGCTGCTTGTACCCGTGTGCCTGAGGTGGCCGCAGACTTCGCGTCTCGGTCACGATTCATCGCTTCTCTGAACTTCTCTCGTGGTGCTGTGCCATCCATGGGTGAGCTTCATGACTTGGCTTTCTCGTCGGAGACACGACGGGCCACGCAACATGCTTGTTGCACAAAAGCTTCGTTTCGTATTGGGGTGGTTCCTCAATTCCGAGCGGAGGCGGCCCTGGGTGGAGGTTATTGCGGATGAAGAGTTGCTGATTTGACGATCGCAGCCGCAGCAATGTACTGCAATCTGTGTGGCTTGGACAGGCTGGTACCTACTGATCACGCCTGCGTGCTCCCTCTGCATCAACTGATTAACAACGGGCCCAGCCTGAAGCTTCGACATCGAACCTCCCCCTATGTTCTTCGCTCTTATCTGGGCTTGAGCCAATCTTCAGGCAGCTGAAAAACATTCAGGAATCGCATGCAAATTTGCTGGCCCATCCGTGAATTCTGATGCAATGAGGAAAACCTAGCCGATGTTATCATCAGTCTGATTCTGCCACACAAAACAAGAGCGGACTCCGGACTTGAGGGCTTTGCGGAAAGCGTCGTGATGAGGGCCTGACAGACTTGATCGTCAAGCTGAGCACCAGTCTCCAGCAAACACAGCTACAAGAATTTTGACGGAGTTGCATATGCCAAACACAAGTCTGTTTTGCTCAACCACTTTCGTGACATAAGAGGAACGACGATGCTTGAGCGCAGGACAGCTGATACCGAATGGTCGCAGACGTTTTTCTTCTTGGCCCGGGACCATGAGCTCTTCCTTGAAAGGCCCCGACTGGCGCTGTGCCTCAAGAAGTTGGTCATGCCCCCTTGATTGAGCAAGTCTTTTCGTTCCAGCTTGGGTTGCAGCATTCATGGCATTGAGGAACATCTGCGTTTCCTGACAGGTTCTCCCCTTCAGCCGCACCACAGGATGGAGCCCGCCTGGCCTCCAGCGCTTCTTGTACCTCTGTGACTTTGCTACCGACCAGGACGCAGGGGACCTCACGCCTGTAGTGGAAATCGAAGATCACGATGAGCCTTTCAAATCTCATGGAGACATCTTGGGCCCCCGACGACTTCCACGTGGAGAACTCGAAAGACATGGTATTCCACTGAGCCTGGCCATTCAGCTTTGAAGCAATGTACTTCACACGCGCATTTAAATTTGGCACCCCCGCAGCTCAGGCATAGAAATACGAGCCAACCAGCGAGCGCATGCAAGTCATCTCGACGGCAAACTTTCCAGCATGTGGCTTCCCGAGGCTGTGGCTGTGATATCTGCGAGCTTTTCCTCGATGATCTGCTGCTTGTCTGCCGACTCCGTTATGTCTTGGATCTCATCCTCGGACATCCGCATGCAACAAGGGCTGAGCACACTTCAGCAGAAGATCTGTGCAAGCAAGCCGTCCTTGAAATCGTTGAGCTTCGCATCAATGAGAGACTGAAGCTTGAAGTCTTCCCGTTCAACCTGAGGGGTGAGCTGTGGGCTGCCTGCTTCACCACGGCCAGTGTCATTGGAGGAAGCGCCTGCAAGTCTTTGCCAGTGATGTCGTTCACCTTCCCAACGGCCGACACAAGTTAAGTTCGGCTGCGCAAATACGAACCAAGTGGAGCTGATACGACTGGGATTCTTTCAGGTACCCAGTGCCCTTTAGTCTTGCCGCGCGTTCCTGTAACAACTGCAGGCATCTGCAGGATTCGGCGACTGGGCTCGATGCAACTGCTCTCGCTGCGCTCAGAACGAAGGCTGTGCTCTACTAATTGCCGGTACCAGTTCGATCAATCCAGGAGGTGCATGCGACAAAATTGCCAAACAGAAAGACAAGCCGAGCAATCAATCCACAATTGTAGTGCCTGCTGCCAGTGGCGCTGCTGGATGCTCTTCTTCGACAGCTCCATCAGCAAAGGGAGTACCTTTTGCACGTCACAGCTAAGCCCCTGAAGGTTTTTTCGGGCAGAGTGCTGGCTGGCAGTTCTCGCCTGTTGAAAGTCTTCGATCTCATGCTTCAGCTCGTGGTACGCCGGCCTGAGGGTCAACGCCGCCACATAGCGCAGTGCCGCAGATTGCTCGGCAAAATGACGCTAAGGGTCTCACCACTCTCGAAGTTGTCCAGGCATCTTTTTGCATCGGAACCTTTCAAGACGCCATCTTCTTTGCTCTGTGCGCATCCAGTTCGGCAGCTTGTGAGCTCCCTTTCAACCTCATCATACCTAAAGCAGCCTTAGCTTAATATGAGAAGTCGTCAGATCTCTGTCGGATGTTGCGGGCGCTTTCAACTGAGCAAGCCGCGCAAACTGGTCAGCCTGTGGCCGGCATGTCTCTATGCCATCTCTCTGCCGTGAAGCTACATTACATGACGGCAAATTCTTGCGCCAGCCTCTTTCTTCATGTTCTCCATCTCACCCGGCACCTATGGAAGTTATGCAGATATGCCGCGCTTGGAATTGCCTCAAGAGGCCCTCTGATACTTGCGCAACATGGGAAAACGCAATCCTGCAGGCAGCCCCTCCGATTCCACTTGCCATGTGCCGGTGGCATTTGATTCCAAATAGCAGAAGCAGCCTTTTCGCACAGGATTGTGGCCATGCAAAGCTGGACGATTCTAGAAGAGTCCGGCTGCAAAAACTCGGAGGTTGACCCTGGAGTGCTTGACTTGACAAAGGGCTTCCAGGTACATCCTCTTCACATATCCGCAGTCCCGCGAGCTCTTCGTGGCTTTCGGGATGCTCTGCAACGACACCCAAGCGATGCGGACAGGGCCTAGTAACAGTCACCGAAGATTCGCACATTGCCACTATTTCCCACTACAGCTATAAAAGCATGCGATGCCTCATGTGCCCTGGCGCATGCACGATTATGGAAATCCCGTGGAAAACTTCTTACAATACTGTGCTGCAGCTTCTGCAGCGGTCTCGCGAAGTGCGACGAGTTTGTTTGCCAATTCCTGGAGCTGCGTTCCATGACTCGTCTTTGCCAGCCAGTCAGCTGGAATCACGGATTCTGTGCCGATTGAGCCATGGCAGGCACCGGCCAGGGTTGCTCTGCTCACGGTACAACCTCCAGTGGCAATACTTGCTTCCACAGCATGAGTGTAGCTTTCGTCTTTCGCACAGTGCAACGGCAAAATCAGCGCTTGAGGCAGAGATCAGGAAATCCCAGCAAACGGAAATGTGGCAGCCTCGGGCTTCAGCTTCAAGCCAACCTGCGCATGCGACAGATCAGCAAACTCACCGATCGCTCGGCCAAGTGCCATGGCCACCTCATCATCAAGAGCCGTTCTGAAAGTTCGATCTGGATTTGTAAGATCCTGCTGAGCCGCAGACACTGCCTCCTGCAATGTTGCAGTGCCAAGCACCAGCTTCTCGAGAACACGTGCGAAGCCGCAAGCGAAGGCTGCAGCTTTGTCGGTGTTCTGCACGACGCGGACTGCGGCATCAACACTGGCCAGTAAACTGGGCTGCCCTGCCAGTAGAGCGACAAGCGGGGCAACCTTGCAACAGCCATCTACCTCAGGGACTGGAGGTGCCATGTGAGCGGGGGGGGGAAAAACCTAGAGGCCCCCTAGGCGAAGACATTGTGACGGTTATCGCTTTTGGGATTACGCATCGCTTCCCCAAGCGAACAGAAGTACGGCTCTCAACTCTTAACTGTCCAGCCCTGGCCCCAGTCTTTTTTCAAAAAGCGACCGCTTAAGGCTTAGCCGGCCGCTCATGCACGGTACTTTGGGATCCCTGTCCGGACATGCTTGCGTTGGATGTTAGCTGAGCGGTGGGTTCAGCTGCCGCTCAACCCGGACGAGATGCAAAGCAAAGACAGACACGATAGCAAACGAAACGAACTGTGCCAAGCGATACGAACCGTGCGTGTGGGGTGTGAGCAGCTGAAAAGTTCAGAAGAAGGACCTGCTCATCGGCGGAGCCGCACTTCGGGAACTTCTTCTTCTCACTGACATAGTTTTTGAGGAAGCCCTTGACGGAGCCATGTCGCCACGGCCCAGGCAGCGGCATGCTCCACTTCCTTTCAGCCTCGATCACATTGCCATCTGCGTCTGTTGGGTTATTTTTGAGCTCTGGCCAATTCTCCGGATCCACAGCCTCCACCTCATAGGCACTGGCTTTGCCAAATTTGCCTTCTAGGCGAGAGGAGTAGTCCTCTGCGTTGAATTTCCCATCGCAGGCAACCAGGGACTCAAGGAGGGCCATCGTTTGTTCTCCGTAGCAGCTGAACCCGCCGGGTGGAGGTGTGTAGAAGACATTGCCTGGCGGATCGCAGAAGGCCGGACCATATTTTGCCCCACTTTAAGCTGTTCTGCGAGTTTGCTGGGGTCATAGCACCAATGGCATGGAACGGCTGCAGCATCAGCCACCAAGCATCCAACCACGGCGCCCCTGGCCCTGGCAGCCAGGCCAGCCCGCTCCATAGCCACAGGCTACAGCCACTCGACTGAGGTGTCGAACACAAAACAGCTGAGCGACAGGAATGCACAGGAATTATGCCATGCCGCTTCGATAAGCCTTCGAGGATGGTTGAGTTGCAGAAGCTTCCCAACTGCAGATCATGCTTTCCGCTGCGTGAGAGGTTAGTGCCGCTAGTATGGGAACATGAACAGTCCCGCCACTCTGCACTCGAATGTTGTAGGTCGCTGACAGAATAGACTATCAAACTCCGACCAGAAATACTCAAACATGGCCAGCAGCAAGACAAGGCTGGGTGGTCCAACAAGTCGACACTGACAAATCCCGGCCTCAACCCACAAATAGTCCTTCCAGCGGCCAATGGTCTCCAGAACCTTTAGCTTCAGCAGCTGCCATTCGTGCACCATGGTCTTCAACCCACACGAAGGCTCAGGATGCAGCTGCCGTGTACAAGTCGTATAGCTGGCTCAGGTAATCGAGCTCCTGACAAGCCACATCAAATGAGCGACAACTCTTCCATGAGACCATCTGTATGCAACACCTAGGACCCAAGAGGGTTCACAACATCGCTCCCCCCTGACACCGACGTCGCAAATGGGCGAGCGTAAGACACACGCCATCCAAAAACAATATCAGAAAAGAATGCAAAGTTAATCAAATTTAAAGGATGGGGACAGGGAGCATGACCGTCTCAGGCCGAATGACTCCCGGGTCCCGATATCTGGAGCTGACCCGTGCATGGTCTTACGCGTTTAGTCCTTCTCTGTCTGGTCAAGCTGCGGATAGGTTTGATGAGGAAGGCCGAAGAGATCTTCACCTCAGTTCGTCAGCGACAAGGCAGTCCAACCTTGTGCCAACCGGGGAAGCTGCCGAGGGCAAAAATCTGGCGTTTGCGACCATGCACCTGCATGGAATCAGCAAGCCCTTGATGCGGCAAGTTGCACCTGAACACCCTATGCCTCGTACTCTTCTTTGCACCGCCTTGAGCCAAAGCGTTTGATACAAGTCTACGAGCACGTTCTTTGTTGGAGATTGGAGCTCAGCACTTCTCTGAGCTTCCGACTTGAGCCGCTCCACTGCCTGGCGACATGACGTTTTTGGCTTGGACTTGAGGGCAAATCGCAGGTGCGCTGGCCTGGCCAGGCCGAATTCCCTTGACCATGGGGCCGCGCCTTGACTCAGACCGTGCTTTTGGGAATGGTGGGAGGAAGGTGAACTTAGCACTGAGCTCTTCATAGTCCCTGCGAAATTTTTCAACATCTCGTCTGAAGGCATGAACCGTCCTGGGCACACATTGCCAAGACAGAACGTGTCAAAGCTGCTCATCGTCTCATCGCACAAGAGTGCCCTGCTTGATGAGGTTGCGTTTAAACCTCAGCAAGAGACAGTGCTTCCATGCCCTTAAGGCAGTTTCATCACGAATGGTCAGAGGCAGTCTCCATGACTTTCATCACGCAATGCGGCACAATGTGATACAGTGGTATACACAACATCCTCCGCTCTTTTTCGCTACGTGCCTGCATTGGGAGGGGTCGGTCCTCCATGCAGCAAGCCGTATAAATCATCGTTGCCTGTATTGTACGGCAGCGCCTTGGTTTCGGGGTGGCTTCGGCTAAGCATAAGAAGTACTGCACGCCTGTGGATGTCACGACTTGGCTGTAGTATGCTTTACTCAACCATACCGGGCCAGCACCGAGCTCTGCCTGGTTGATAAATGCAGTTCAGCTTCAGTCATCGCCTCCAGCTCACTGAGCTTCTGAGACAAGACCTCGATTCCGCTACGTGAAGAACAGCAGCTTCGTCTTTTGAGCCTGTCCATGACCCACGGGCCGGCTAACGTGCGACGGAGTTTCAGCGACCTCTGCTTGGAGGCCAGCGGCTTCAATCCTCAGATGCAACGTAGGCCAAAGGCCTCAATGAGTAGCGACAACGCAGCCAAGTGCAGCAAAAATTCTCTGACTCCTCTTGCCGCTGGCGCAGCGCCTCACTCTCCGGGCTTCGGCTCAGCTGGTCGGTAAGATGCTGGAAATTCTGCCTGCGCAGGAGCGACGACGCTGCAGCTCGCCAGCGCAGAGAATGCCACTCCATGCCCGAGAAATGCTCCCCTCATCCCAATCACCCATCATAGGCTGCCAAAGGAACAAGCTGGCATCCAACAAGAGCCGCTTCTCCTCCAGCACGCCCTGCAACAACTCCTGCATAAATGCCGAGGAAAGCACCACAACATCTGAGGCGATCAAGCGATAGCTCCACTCCTGGGTCATCACTTCTCTGCCTTCATCGAGTCCGGAAACAGCCTGAACATGGCAAGTCGCCAAATTGAATTGCAAGACAATCAAGTAGGGTTTTTTGAATTCGAAATTTTGGATAATTATTTGGACGCACCACATGGAGGTCGAGATTGGGACGAGGCTGGCATCTGGAGTTTGAAGGCTCGAAGGGGAATGTCATCTAAACGTCTGAAGCCACAACGACGTGCGCCGTGCGACGGGCGAGGAGTGGAGGACGTGGTTGGCTCAACCTGGCACCTCCGCGTCTCGAATTTGAAAGTTTGACAGGTTGGAGTTTGACAGTTTGACGAGCCCGAGATTGAAGGCTTGAAAGCTTGAAGGTTTGCGAGATTGAACAGGTGAAAGATTGAAGCAAATTGAAAGTTTGAGAACTTGAGAGGAGCTTCAGAGATCGAAAGTTTGAAAGATGGAAAGGCTTGGAGCTTGAGAGTTCGAACTCTTCAAAGTTTCAGACTGCGGATTGCAAACTTGAATTTGAGATCGTGCAACTTGCGAGGTGTACTGTTGTTTTGCTCAAGTGTACCGTCTCGGGATTTTTGCCGCTGGCAGAGGCAGGTTAGGAGGTGCCTGAATTACGAGAAGTATACAGGGCTTATCCAGCAAGGAGGCTAATTTTCCGAGACTTGTGCCTTACTAGTACTCGTAGTGATAATATGGCAGTTTCAACAACTTTCGAAAGGGTTTTGGGGATAGCAAACTGTAACCGCACAGAGATTAAAAGGAATGTTGGTACAAGTACTACGCATTCGTGCTCCCGCAGGCCTGAGTGTGGGTACACGGACCCTTGCAGTGGGCAGGTTCCGAGTCAGCAAAAAGAGCCAGGAACATAAGGGGCAGAATCAGCAAGCAGGCCGGATGCAAGTCATCCACAGCACAGTCGCAGTCAGCAAACCCCATAGCCACTATCGGAGGCGCCCCAGCCCGAAACGGCAGACATCAAGGAAGTGCCATGCGACGGCAGCACCTCTAACGCAACGACATGCTCCTGGAAAAGTAGTGTAAACTTTCAGCGTCAAACATGGCCAATCCAGCTCTGGAGACGCACAGACAGTAATGCACACTAGCGTACAACTACTTGGTGCAAGAGGAGGTGCTGCGTGGTCGCTTCTGCTTCCTGTTCTTCCATATCCAGCTTGCGGCTTGCTGATTGGAGCTTCCTGGTTTTTGACTTCCGCGGCTGTGCTTGCTTCTGACTCGAGGCCACCCCTTTTGCGACAGGCAGCTACTGGTTTTCTGACTCGATTTGCAGACAATCGCCCGGATTTGCTGACACAAGCTACTCTGCCCTTGCGGCTATGGCTTCTGAGATTATCAGCTTAGTGCAGGCCGAGCGTGAATAAAATACATATATCCCTATATGTACCCACCAGATGCCGGGCGTTTAAAACTCGAAAACTTCAGACATTCGAATTTGCAATCTCTCGAAGTCTACAACTCTCGAAACTCGGCCGACCCTCGAACTTTCGAACTCGATGCTCTTGAAATCCTCAAACGTTCAAGCTTCCAAACCTTCAATTCTCGAACTCTCGAACTTTCATGCCGCTCACTTCTTTCACAAAAATTCAAACCCTCGATCTAGCAGCCTCGCAGATGTTGAAACTATGGACCTATGGAATTGTCAAACTCTCGGTCTCAGCGACGAGCCCGCGAACCGAATTTGGAGAGAAAACCAGAGAACCTTTCAGACTCCAAACCTTGACACCTTCAATCCTCCAACAACTGCCTGCCAACCTTTCGAACCTTCGAACTCTCAAGCCCTCGAACTCACAACTGCATCCTTGGAACCCCTTCTACTGTACCAAAGGTGCTAACTTTGAGCGAACTCGGCCGCGGCCAATGTTTCGAGATTCAATTCGAAGCAACCACTTTCGATGTTGAAAGGTTCGAAGTTTCCTGCCCGCTGAGTTGCAGGTACCAACCTGTTTAAACCTTTGAATTGAAACTTGAAACTTCGAATCTTTAAAGGCTTCGAGTCGAACTGTCAAACTCTCGGACCTTCGAGCTCGAACACCCTGGCTCGGGACCAGGGACGCCACTCAAAAAGGAGACGAGCATGCTAAGCCGCCACAGCTCGTGAAAAGCTTCACATCTGATAGCTCCTTCGGCCTTGTATGGCACCACGGCGCGCTGCGAGAGCGGATCCTGCGCGGTGGTGCCAATCGTTGCAGTCGTGCGCGCCATGCTTAGCTCGAAGAAACAATCGTCACATAGTCCTGAAAGCCCGGATCTGAGCCGAAGGCATCTTCGTGGTACCAATGTCGCGACTCCAGGTCTGAAGGCAATGGCCAGCTGGAAAATGCCTGTGCCGAGAGGCCCGCAAGATCCCACAAGACTGACGACAAAACATCGCCTGAGTCGTTGTGAAATTATTCGTCAAGCTGCGTCCAGACGTTCTGGCAGTGCCAGGTCGTGGCCCGCTCCAATAGCAGAAGCCTGCTCCTCGGATCGTGATGCTGGGGATTTGCATACATCTACTGTTCAGTCGAAGCGATGCCGTCCTTTTTTCACGACATCACACGATTCGCTGCAGTACGAGCTGAAGCTGAGAGCATCTCGATTTTCAGTCCCCACCAACCGTCACCACTCAGCGACATTCGGCGACCCTCGCTGAACTGGCAAGCGTGCCACTTCTCTGCTCGAGTGATCCATCTAAAGAGGGCTCGGAAAGACTATCCTGCACGATCACCCCTCGCCTGAAATGCCAGCTGTGTCAGGCCCTCAGGTGCCTCTATCGGCGGATATCCCACACCAGCCGAGATACAGAAGTCAACGAGCTTTGTCCGGCTCCATCAGCATGACCACCGAAGTACCCCAGAGGCAAGTCCATAGCAGACATACCATCCTGGTCATGCGAAGGGTCCGGCGATGCACACGCAACACCCCTACAGTAACGAGATGGCTTCCCTTGCATACCATATCTAACAGATCGGCTCTTTCCGGTTTACCCGAATCCTGGCAAGGTTAGTTCCCATCAGTCCTTGAAGAGCGGAACGGTGACCTTTCTTTTCCCGGGCCTTTTGCGGATGTTGCGGCAAGAGCAAGAATCAAAGCTGGTCTTAGCGGCGCCATCTGCGCTCTGTGTGATAATGCCAAGATACTCATTAATGGTCATTGTCAGAAGGCTGCTCCCGGCATTGGACCACATGCCCGGACCAAATGAGCCTCAGGATAGCGGACACGGAGGTTTGTCCGGATGTGTCGAAGCACCCGAATGCAGGAAGCGAGAGCAAAAAGTACGAGCAGCCGTGCCCGTCTGACAGCGCCAATGGCATGTTTGGCGCAGGCGTTGGGCGCGATACAGCACATGGATTCCTGATGCCACTACATCCAATCGAAGATGCACTGTGAACGCCTATTGTCGACCATCACAAGCCACCAGCATTTTTGGTAAAGTATTGTTTGCTGAGTGCTGCCGACCAAGTGGCGGGAGAGTGAGTGACACCGCATCGGCAGTTGCGGGTCCAACTTCGCCGGCAGCATTGATGGCGGCAACTCTGCACAGGTATCCTCGCCGCGATACAATTTTGCGCGCGGACCCCGAACAGAGAAACAGCACCTAGCATTCCAAACCCTGCAGTCTCAAGAACCACTCCAAAGCGCACCTCAGTCTCCCAAAACTACTACCATGTCCAAAAATATAAAACACCGCGGGCGGTGGCGAGAGCACGACTTCGGGGCAGCAGTCGCGAACGAGGACCGTGGCGGGAAGACGATGCGCCCAAAAACATCCACGGCACTGTGGCGGGAGCAAAACTTGAATGGCAAATAAACGCCGTAGGACGGCGGGATTTCGAGACCACAGCCCGAAACCTCGAAGATGCGAATGCATCGAGCGATTCAATTCAACATAAGCGCAGGACTGGGGCGGGAGAACGATTCGTCAAGTTGAAGAATGCCAAAGCATTGAGATTTAGAGAGTGTCGGCGCAGCGGGGCACTAATCCGTCTGTGCCACTCGTTCCACTCGCTCCGTTCCACTCATGGCACTTGCTCCACTCGCCCTGTATGTTACCTGCTCCACTCATCCCTTTTGTCTACAGCACGAGTGGGGAGTGGCGACACTCGCTCCACTCACCCTGTGCCTTACCTGCTCCACTCGTTCCCGTTGCCTTGCCATGGCCCGAGTGGCGCGAGTGGCATGGTCGACTTTACTTTTCCCCCGCACGGTCGCAATGGACATTTGCGCAGAATCGCGTCCCGGAGGAAGGGCCGCGAGCGGGACTGTGTGATCTCAAACTTCACTAGAAAATGCGCATCACACCACAGCGTGCTGTGTATTACCACGCTGTTGGGGAGGGGGGGGGGCAAAAAGTTTACACAGATGCTCATATTGACCTGAGCAAAGCACAATAGTGAGCCAACGCGGCACCGTCACAATGCCTTCCGTACTAAAACAGCTCAGCCAGAAATGACAGAACATCATGCTGAACGCCATTAAGCGTCGGCCAATTCGCTGGTCGAATTCCTCTGTGTGAATCTCTGCACGCTGCACGCTGTCCGCGATATGCTTCACATGTCCTATTTCCAGCCACTCATGGGGATCTGCATCGGTAACAGAGAAAGGCCTAACCCAAAGACGGTAGGCAACTAAGTTGGCACCGCCATCATACATGGGGGGATCCCACTCCACTGCCAGAACAGGTCCGCTGCAGCCAGCCAAGCGCGGCTGGCCGCAGCCAGCGGGCGCACACGGGCCCGTTTGCACTTCAAGCTCTTCCGGCTCACCGAGGCCAACCTCGTTCACTGCACAGACGCGGAAGATGTAGAGGCTGTCCGGCTTCAAACCCGAAGCCAAAAACGAGTTTTCCCTAGCTTCACGGGCTTCGACATCTCCGGCATGCAGCCAAGTCGAGGCGCCTCCTGACGGCCGCTTTCCTCGCCCGAGGAGTCGAGAGTCCACGCGGTAGCCCTTCAGTGGGACGGCTTTGTCTTCGTTGGCCGGAGGCAGCCAGGCCAGCCTCACGTCATTCGCCATGACATCCACGTGTAAATCCTGAACCGGGGAAGGAATTCGTGCGAAGGAAAACTCGCAGGTGACGTAGGCTACGTCATTGCCGGCGGCATCAATCATCGGCCAGGTGCAGGCTCGTCGATGATACTTGCTGTCGTTTATAGGCACAAATGCGCGTGCAAAAAGTTCTGGCTGAGATGGCCTCCCGAAGAGGCTGCTCGCGCACAATGACCAGGCATCTATTCGGAAGTAGACTGGACCTCCAGCAGCCGGTCCAGGCCCAGCTTCGCTGAGTCGAACAGTGACACGCGCTTTGAACCTGCATTCTGTGCTGGAAGCGCGGCCTGAGCCCGAAAGGCCCGAAGCATTTCGCTCCATGGCCTCAACGGCCGAGGCAATGCGTTGCTTCAGCTGGGCCTCCTCTGGTGGCACCGCCAAGGGCGGACCGGCTTGCCTCGGCACACAACTCAAAAAAAATAGCTAGCACGAAACCGGACAACGTTCTCTTTCCATTATTTACAGTTGAAGCCAACTGAGGGAAGCGCACGAAACTGGTGCTGAACGGGCCCGGTCGATCAGGAGGATCGCTCCGGGCATCCTCGCCTACGTGAAGGCTGAGCTGGTACTGGGCTGGGCTCTGCATCCAACTTCCTGTTGGGAGTCGCGATAGGTAAAGGAACTTCACGACCAGAAGCTCTGGCTCAGGCAGAGGTCGCTGCCTTGAAGCAGACATGCCGTTGGGCTTGGGGAGGTTTTGCGCGTCGCTTCTGCGACTGTGTCCACCCGATCGGCATGCGAGTGTTGTGCATGCACTTGCGTTGGTAGCGCTGTGCCCGGTGTCGGGTGCACCTGTGTCCCCGGCTGCTTGGCTTTGACTAGCTTGATGCGTGCGTCGAAGCACAGATTTTGGCGCAGGCCCTTGGATCTGGAGCGACAAGGGGTTTTCCCGGGACTCTCGGGTTTGCAGCTCATGTCTCGGAACTTCGTCGGCGAAGCGTAATGTACGGGCAGCTGCCTTGCTAGTGCAAGCTGCACAGGGTGCAGAGGTCTCTCCGACCCTTGCAACCAGCCTCCTCGCCTCCAAGGCCTGCGGCACCTGCACGGATTGTGCAGCGTGCAGAGCCTGCGGCGCTTGCGGATGACACGAAGTGTTGGCGTTGGGAAGAAAAGGTCTTGGCGCACCCGGCAGGACATGGACTGGTGCTTTGGCGACGGGCGCTTGCTGTACAGGCAGCTCATGCTGCGGGAAGCTCACTACTCGCGGAGCCCTGCCCACGCCGGGAAATGACATTGCTATGTGTGAAACAGCATGGCTGCTTCAAAGTGGGCACTTAATGTTCGAGCATATGAAATTTCAGCTGCGGCACAAAAAGCAAGTCTCGAAAAGCGTGCTATAAGCAGAAAGCTTCAGCCGATTTCAGCTGTGTCTAAGCTATCTGTATCAAAAGTGCCGATGCACACCCCGAAGCTCCAGTCATCTCCCGTCCGCTTCTCCTTCGTGTCCGAGATCTCCTGTGCTTTTCCAGCAAGGATAGGCCTCCAGGCTCAACGAGACTTCGCCGTCATCCGGCATCGGAGCTTGGCAGATTCGCTGCAGGCCCAGCCCACGAAACCTTTTCCCAGGCCGACAAGCCTGTTGGGCTGCCGCCCTTCTTCCGGACTGCCAAACATTTTCCACGAGATCCCCGGTGAGCTGCATGCCAGCTGGGATGAGCTCGAGCAAAACCCGTAATAAACACCACTTCTAAAAGATCTGCCGGTACCAACCGCGCAGCCAACCAACATTTACCCAGGAATTGTTTTGCAGATGCTTAGAATCCTAACACGATTACATCGCTAAGCCGCTGAGTGCATATCTCGCAACATCACCGAAACTTTTGCTCTCCAGCATGCTGGCAACCTTCTTCGGATTTAAGAACCGAAAAAGTAACATCTGTATTCCACATAAATTGATTTTGACGTTCGCTTCAGCCGTGTCCATTTCTGGGTTTCCTGGTGAAGCCTTGGCAACCTCACGAGGTTTGCACATGTTGGCGCAAGGCGTGTCAATGTTGACACTGCGATCATCAAACAACAAGAGATAACAAAAGTGTACAAAAGCGTTCGTTTTTGTGTTGCAGTTGCCTCTTGGGGACGCCACTGGTCTGTGTCTGCAGGATTCGTCAGGCAGAAATTCCCTCCCACCTGAAACGCCAAAACTCAGCGCCATACTGAACCTGCTTGACAGTCAGCTCCTGCAGCCGAAACGAAGGCCGTGAGTGCACCATAAGTGCTTACCAAACTCATCCGCTCACACGACAGTGAACCCAACAGTCTGTCCAAATGTCGCGTCTCGCTCTCTGCCAGGAGCTTCGTCCAACCTGTGCAGGATGCTGGCTGGCATCGGGCTTGTTGGGAAGATGCTGCTTCTGCTGGCACTGCTGCTTTGCACGCTTTTCTTCGGCTTCTGGCGCGCGAGTCTGTTGTGTGGAGAAGAAGAATCTATTGGCGCCGAAGTGCGAGATGTTCAAAGGAACTGCTTTCTTCGGCGCACAAGCTGCTCCTAGGCATCGCTCTCGCCATAGTCATAGACGGCATCAGAACCCGGGATGAAGTCCAAGGTCACCGTGGCTTCCACAGGCGAGTAGGGGGGCAAAGCCGGCCGACCTGGAGCGGATGGAAGACCTTTGTCCCCGAAAGCCAGATTTCCGGGAATCCGCATCTTTCGAACGCCTCCTGTCTTCATGCCGCGAATGCCCTCATCCATGCCCGGGAGCAGCTGTCCTACTCCGAACCTGAAATCCCTTGCTTTGCCCTTCGTGTCTTCGACAATGATTTCCCTCTCACGAATGAATGCCTTGATTTGGTACTGTATACCAATTTGGTCACCGATCTGTGGCGATGCTCCAGTGCCAGTCTTTACATCTTCCCACTCCACTCCGCCTGTGTGAATGTCATCGTCATCACCTGCAGGAGTAGTCTTCCAGGCCGTGGTCACTCCTGACTCCGCATGGCTTGGACTTGGACCTGCGAAGCCTCCCGCTCCCCCCGCTCCCATTGCCAGAACTGGCAAGAAGCGAAGGCGAAGAGCCTCGGCCCGAGAAATCTCGCCCTTCGGTACCAGGAAAGCCTGCCGAAGTCACGAAACGAAGGAGCAAGCTGACAGGCTGACAAGGAGTCAAGAACTGCTCTATCCAGGAGGGTGGCCAGGGCCAGGGGGGTCGTCGTCGCAAATCGTGTGCTTCTGGAGAGGTCCCAGTTTTTGCAGCTACAAGCAGGATCTTTCAAGGCACAAACTTCTGGACCAGAGCAGGATTTCCTTGGAAGCTGATAGTTGCCAAGACCCACAACATAGAGACTTAGAACACACACGCTCAGCATTCTTCGCGGGTATCCCGGCACCACTCAACGCCGATCCTGCAGGACACCGGCTTGTGCTCCGTCAATTCAAGGAGCCCAAACTTGACGGTAACGTATTTAAATAGACCCTAGCTTCGTATAGCTTCGTACTGCAACGGCAGCTGCTTTCTTTGTGCAAAGCACGCCTGAGCTTATGGATCAGGATTTCTTGCACGCCTAATCCTTGGCCGGCAAACAACCCAAACCGGCAATTCGCTGCAACTTCAGCTTTCGACTCCGGGCATAGGCATCTGAGCGCCCGCAGCCTAAATAACGATTCAAAAGCGTCCAAGAGCCAAAGCTTCCCCCTCTGCCCCTTACAACAACTGCGGTCTGCACTCGGAATACCGGTGCAACCTTTCGGAGATATGACAAAATTCTGGCTACTTCCCTTCTGCTCTGCTTTGAAGCACTTCCAAGCCTGACCCGTCAAGCCACTGAACGACCTGTACCTGTTGCTCCATTTACTACGTCCTTCCCCCACCATGATTGGATGAAGTCACTCATGCATTCAGCCTCGGTCCTAGATCTTCGCTCTACTTATCCATCCTGGTATGCCAAATGGCAAGGCCAATTTCTTAATCCATGTGCCAAACATTTTCCGCTTATCGAATTCCCCAACCCCATGGAACCATGGTCTGACCTACGCATGGAGGAAACACGGCACGGATTCATGGAAAACCCAATACAAACGGAGCAATTTGTGATCTCATCTTGGTGGTGGTATTTGAAGAATGGCAACTGCACGATTGGATCAGGATCCGACGACAGCAAGCCCTTGTACAAAGAGCAAGGTCTTCGAGTCTCAATTCCACGATAGCCCTCGGGAAGTCGATATGGATTCACACTGTAACTCAGGATCGAACTGCATCAGCTGGACAACAAAAAATCCGATGATTCGTCCTGTGAAAAATACGTTGCAGGAACTAAGTCTGGAAGTTTCCTTTTTTCCTCCTCTTTCAAAAGTCTGTGTTTGAAGGCGTGCAAGAAAGCATTTACCAGCTCGGTATAGAGCAGGAAATCATGACCTCTGTCTCGTGTTTTTTTGCCGGCACTTCGAAGGACAACCTCAACGACACGTTCTCGAAGAGTTGCAGAGGACGGATGAGCATCTCGTTCCGAACCCGGCTCCGTCAGTCATGTACACTAGACAAGCCTGCGCGAGGCAGGCAAGCTACGACAAGCTTACCCTAAATGTGCGTAGGCGCAAAACCAAGAAAGCAGCACCGACAGGCTAAATCCATGTCAGCCATGTGCTTAGGTTTCCTGCCTGAATCAATTAAGCTGTACGTCCCAGGCCTTGTGAAGAGACACTGCCAATAGCACAAGTAGTGCACAGCGCCCTTGTCGTCGGGCTGGAAGCATGCTTTCAAAGGCTGGCCGAGGAAAGTGGCAAGATTCGATGCCTCTGTGATGCTGTCTTGGGCCAAAAGCCAACGACGCATCTGCCCCAAAGCCACTGCTCTGAAACTGTGAAACCCTCAGCACCAGAGTATGCTGGGCTACACTGATAGGCGCGACACATCAGCTTGCTTCAGCAACATGTCTCATGCTAAGTAGACGGCTTGATTGCAGCATGCTGCGTGCATCCTGCTCCTGCAGGGGACAGCGAACGGAATCCAAAGAGCAGAGAAGCACTTTGTGCAGCCGTGCCTCTTTGTCAAGAATGTTTGGAAGATACGAATCCAGCATGGCCTCCAAATCAAAGCAGCGTTGTGTGACCGTTTGCCAAGCAAAATAGACGGGGCCAGCGCATACATCTGGGCCACCGGTTCCAGCTCCTTGTCGAGTATCGAAAACATGGACGAATTTACAGGAACACCGAACAGTCGGCACCCAAGACTTTAGAACCATATGAAAAGGATACATACTTACAGTTACATACATGCATAATCATGCATATACACATACACTACTTACATCCATGACATTCATGCCTGCAGGCATGCCTGCATGAATGCATACTTGATCCCACTCGCATGTGCGAATACATGCATGTCGGTACAATATGTATCTCATCGTGACGATGCTACAGCTGCCATGCCCTGGAGAACTGCATGCATCGTGCGCTCAACTTGGCGTTCCAAGCCTGTCGCCATGCCCTGGCTCGTGGTACACATACGATGTGCAGTGAAGCGCGACCACCCTTTGGCTCCCTGCTACTACTTGCAAGACGGAGCATGCGAGAGCAGGGGCACACAGCCTGCGACGACGACAACAAATATGCTGGCAAGCCGCTAACTCGATTTCGCCTTGCTTTTCCCTCACCTGCAGCAAAAGCACGATGAGGATCACAAGGAGACACTATGGCCACTGCACCCACTTGCACCCAGCAATGCCTCTCGCAGAGTTCGCATGACGTGGCCCAACGCATCAATGTCACCGTCTGCCACCTGTACCCAAGCTACATTCCGTGCACTCTTCAAGCGACCGGAAACATTAAGTTGTTACGCCATCTTGCTGCAGGCTCTCCTCGGTGTGGCCGCTGCTGACGCAAAACATGGAGCAATATTGCTCGCTGACGTGGCGACTATCTGTAGAAGAACGACTCTTGCTACGCAAGTTTGTCACGGAATTCGGCGTGCTCTGAGTGGCACCTCTCGGCTCAGCTTCTTCATGGTGGACTTGATGACTTCACTGAGGGCCTCCAGCCGGTGGAATGCCTGGCTGGATAATCACGACACTTCACACGGCAATTGTTCAGCACACCGCCTGCGTGTGCAGCTCACGAGCGAAGGATTCCTGATTCTTGCATGCACTGGCAACTGACGGCACCTTTGCCAAATGGTTTCAGTACTTTGTTTCGGGCCGGCTCAAGCAACTAGCGCTCACAATCGCTCACATGGTTCTCCTTCCAGCGTCCAGCCAGCTCTCGCAGGCTCCGTGCCAGGCTGCCGGCCTGAAGGGAGAGCGCCTCAGCGTTGGTGGTTGACTCCGGTGCAGACAAAGTAGAGATGACGGCCTAGCTGAGTTTGCTGCAGAAATTTGCCTGCGAGGCTCCATGAGTTGAAACTCATCGTCCAGACCTTTCTGGCAAGAACCCCCGCAAGTCACTTCACCGCTCCGGTCACGGCAGACTCTTTTTTGGTAGGGCCACGACGAGCAAAAGAGCGCAGCTTGGCCTGCGAAACAACGACCCACGACACCTTCTACCGGGTCGTGCAATTGCAGATTTCTGAATTCGAGCTAGACAGTCTCAACACCACAAGGAAACGTATGTCCTCAAACTCATCCAACGTCGGCTCGGATGCGCGAAACTTCTTGTACCTTGAAGAATACGTCGCAAATCAACGATCGGTACTTAGCTGAAATGGTGGGAATCAAATACAGGCTACAGGTCGGGTGACGCATCAAAAAACAATTTGATAAGCATCAAAAAATAATTTACCACGGTAGCCATCAAAAAATTGCTAAGCATTTTAAAAATATTTGATAAGAGGGTTTAGGCTTTAGACGGTAGCCATCAAAAACAAATTTGATAGGCATCAAGAAAAGATTTGCATGAAGGGTTTAGGATTTTTCAAGGTGTTTATCAATTTTTTAAGATGCTCATCAAATTTTTTTAGATGCTTATCAATTTTTTTTGATGCCTATGCCCTACAGGTCACTCTTCGTCAATGTCGCAGTTCCAAAGCCAGCTCCAACGCTCAAACTGCTTAAGGTACTTGTTCTTGCCATCTCGAGCCTCTCATGTCTGAGCATGTCTGAAACACGAAAGCTGCACCAAGGCGCGTCTCTCAGGCAACCACACTTTGTATGCTGCCAGTGAGAAGTAAAACCACCTGCCGAAATTGCAAATCGCTGGCGTAAACTGAGATGGGACTCGGCCTTCAATATCTCTTTGTCCTGTGCCACTCGGTCGTAGAAGGTTCCCTGCGCCCTGTGCTGGTGCAGAAGCGATGTGTCAAGCAGTCCGATAAGGCATGCCAGCAAAGGCAAAGGGACGCGAACCCTGTGCCACTGACCGGTGGAAGGTTCGGATTGAGCAGCAGTTGCACCTTAACTCACGAGCTCTCTTAGGGCCTTCCACTCAGGAAGCCGAAATGTGCTGCCGGGGTGAGATGACCAAAAGCTTACTTGAATAGCGGGATAGCGAGGCGTTGAACAGAAAAATGAATGTTGAGTGGCCCATTCTCTCGAGCGGCACGAATCGAGCAGCTCAACACCAGCATTGAAGAATCCCTGGCTGGCAGCCCTGGGCTGCGCACGGTACTTGGGATTGTCACGGTATCCCATGCCTCGTGCATCGGATTCTGTCCAACACGCATGTCTCACGTGCACGATGTCCGGGCACGTGACGTGCTCCACAACTGCTACAGTGTCCCATGCATGACTGGATGTCTGCCTCGATCATCTTGGAGCACTTCAGCAAGGCCTTTGGTGGCATTCGTGTAAGTGGCAATCTTGGCACGGAATCACATAACTAGACCACAAAACCTGGTGACATGCGAAGACAGCAAACCTCCTCGAACCGCTGCTTTCCTTGCTCTCGTTTGGGCCTCCCCACGCTCCCCGCTCCCTTGTTCTATCTTCTTCTTTCTTCAGATGCACACACACACACGCACGCAAATGCCGGTGCAACTGCAGGGAACAATAACTCTCTAGGATGACGATGCTTCTCACTACCAGTTTCTAGCCGAGCCAAGAGTGTGCATCAAGCCACATTCTTGGAGCAAGTTTTCGCGGACGGCACACTGTAGATAACCATCAGTAACGCCATGTTTCAATGTTGAACCCATATCCCCGCCGGGCCCTCATTAAAGCCGCTGATTAGCTCTCCGGCTCACCCTGACTGTTTTCAGGTCAGGTCGGTAACCATGTTGAAGCTTGCAAGGTCGTTCGTTTCACCTCCATCTTACTTAATCAAGGTTGGGATTTGGGTAATCTTGCAGGCGAGGGAGTCGGGTTTGGAACATACTCCTTGTCGGGCTTCCATCCGGAACAACACATTCCGTTCCTCGTGCACAGAGACCCCGAGACCATGAGTCAAACTCACAAGTGATGCCCACTTTGCCCACATGCATGTGCAACTTGCTTTCGTCTCTCGTCCCTTGCATACTTACACGAAGATGGGAGATTCGCTTCCCTCCGAAGCCCGGGCATTGTGGCCAGTGTTCCAGCTGGTCTGGTGTGACGGTGGGCACGGTAGTGGTTCCAGCTCTGGTTGTGTTTGCGTCTGCTGGTTCGTCTAGGGCGCAGGGCTCAATCTCAGGGCCGAGCTACGGCGCCTTCAATGCAGAGATCCACTGGGATGAGAAAACCAAGCGATGTAAAGCTCGCAAGGTACCACAAGGTGCACGAGGAACGGCTATGCCGGGAAAGAAACAAGCCAGGCTCTACCTCATCCTCCTCCGGGCAACTTCACCGCAAGAACGGCTGGGGTGGAGAGGGATCGCTGTCATAGGTGGCAGCAGCCCTCAAACGTTGTCAGCATCAGGGTGAAGTCTGAGGGGTCATCGGTGGACTCCTAGCGAGTCGCCTCGTAGAGCAGCGGGTAACTCTTGTAGCCTGGCGATGGAAACTTCGCGGTCGGAGCTGCCCGTGTTGACGTCGAGCAGCGCCTTGTAGCAGGGGTAGCAGCCACAGCTTGTCCCATCTCTCGGGATGCCACGGAATTCACCAGTTGTCCTAGTAGCTCCTGCACTGGCCCTCTGCTGCAGCCTCTGACTGATACCTGTATGCTTTTTGACGGCGGTGTTGTCGCTCTAGTTGGTTCACTTTTTAGCAGCCAAGACTTCGGTTTTTTGCCCCTCAAGTCGTTTAGATCATCTTGCCAGTCGCCTCGAGCAGCCGCGTTGCCCTCTCACGTAAAGGACTTTTCCAAGGACTCAGCTTTTCCTGCAAAGAGCTCCTAGCGTGGCCTGGAGCTCCGCGGGCTTCGTACCAAAAACCTCTGCTGGTTCATCAAGCTTCTGTTGTCCATGTTGCCGCAGGTGACGAGAACAAGCTTCCGGCACTCGGGGTGCAGATAAAACCGCGTTCTGCACCGAAAATGCTGTGCATTCTGCCGTCTTCCAGTCTGTGCCCTCGCGCTAACGGCAGGGCTCTGTCTGCGCACCCTCTCTGCTGGTCTGGCTTGTGGTCCGGCTTGGGCAAAAGGAAGTGCAGCAGTCACGTTCAAGGCTGAAGCATGCTCAGGCCAACTGTCTCAGGTATCTGCAGGGCTGCCTCCACAAAATTTCACACACAAACAGCAAATTCTGTGTAAACACAGTCAATTTGACACGCCATCGCTAGTACATGCTAGTACCCAGTGGATCTGGTGGTTCGACTGTAGCATTGCACAGGACAAACCTACAAGTGCTGTGGCCCCAGCCACAGCACCACCATTGATGGCACTCTGAATGTCTTCCATGGATGGCTGCAGGCATACCTCGGTAGGTGAAAGCTGGTGCCAACGTGCCAGCGATGTCGCCCAGGCACTGGCCCCGAGTCCATCCAACTGCAGCTCCACTTCAAAGAACGCCGGCCTAGCCACGGCCCCAGGACATAGAGGAACTCATGAAACATGTGGAGTCAGTATGTAGTATGAGTGAACGGCGGGGTGGAACCATCTTCCAACGGGCGAGCGGACAGTCGCTCTTTCACCTGCAGACTGCGCAAGTCGGCTTGCCTTTGCCAAAAACGGCAGCGACCTTGTGCAACGACCGCTTCGTTGCTGCCAGGAGGGACTGGTACATGCTCCAGTTGTAGTGCGCCTTGACCTGGTGTCTCGATCCATGGACTTGCTCGTGCAGTCAACAGTCAAGCCAAGGCCTTGATGATCTCACTCTCGGAGATACGACGCACGTGCGCGTCCAGGGGAAACCTTTGCATTCGGATTTGCCAACGGCCCTAGACCTGCAGAGCCCCTCGCTCTGCCGACACAGACATACAGGCAGAGAGTCACCGCCCTGACCCCCCGCGAGCGGTGTTTTTACCGGGGACGGAGACGAGTCAAAGGTCGAGAGTTCCTCTGAGAGGCCAGACCGCCCGACGAAAAGTCGCTGCAGGCCGTGGCAAGTGGAACCGCAAACTGCAAAGGCTGAGAGGAGCTTGGAAGAGCGCGCACAGAAGGCATAACGAAGCAATACAAGTTACTACAATCAAAGCTGAGTGATGGCCCCAGTACCGCTTGAGAGTCAAGCGCAACTATCGTACCCAGCATGTCGTTGACCTTTGCTGCACAGGCACTGCACAGGACTGACGGACGGGAGAACACGGTGGAAACGGCGCTTGCTCTAACAAGCTCCTGCCCATGACGAATTTGGGAATCGAGTGCCTGGGGCTACCACAGCAGCCTCAATCTCTTGGTTTTTCGCCACCAGCCACTCCCTCAGCTCTTGCTTCCACCGCTCTCAGAACATGTAGCAACAAAGTCGATTGCTGCGGAAGTCCTGTCTCGGCGCCACGCGTCGTGTGTCGAACATGCCTTTCTTGAATGTCGACCTCGTTTGAGTGCCGTGCCACTATGCTAGAATGCTACAGCTGCGTTCATGTCGCAACGATCATTTGGAAGTATAAGCGGGGTTGCCAGCTCGTGCTCGGAGTGTCTCGAGAAACCAGGTTGCAGGGAGTATCAGGGAGTGACATGGATAGTCTCAGGAAGGTGGTTTCGGACGAAGCGTAGGTTAATCTATGTTAATCTCGTGGTTAAGACCCATGCTATATCTCGATAGAGGATCGAAGTTGGGGGCCGAGACCTTTTCCGAAGGTCATGCCATCTCTTTTGGGAGCGCTGAACCAAGTAACGTCTCCAAGCGCAAGCTATGTACAAGGCCGTAAGCAATGCCATGCTAGCTTCACTCATTGAAGCCTGGGTCAGGAGCCGCGGCCTGCTCAATGACACCAGCTCTGGCGAGGCTGCACCACTCGGATGGAAATGTTGACGGCATTGTCGAATAGCCTTATGCTGCACACTGCTGTCATCATTGAGGCACCAGTGCAGAACTCTGGTGGTAGCAAGGCTCAAACCCAAGCTCTTTGTTGGCTTCAGCCGGGGTGTGGCTGTACCTGAATCCGCAGGTAAGCGCGGACACACACACACACACACGAACGAACGAACGAACTAATGAACAGACACGAGAAGCGAACGCAACCGAAGGCAACTGTGCCCGAGGGAGCCACGTTGACGGCCTGTGGCTTTCCCTGCGGGTTCAGCCCGACCTGAGCGGAAACAAAAGAGCGCCAGGCCGCAGGGCGCAGCAAAACCAGATGCGTGCTGCCGAGATGTAAAGATGTTCGTTCCTTCCTTCCCCTTGCGTTCTCTTGTTGTTCTCGCCCTTCCCGCCTCGAAGGTGACCATTTGGCCAACGTTCAAGTTCTTCGGCGTGACCTCTCTGCCGTGAAGGAACACATCGCAGCCATACCTTGGATGTTTCTTGGCATGGGGTTTCGCCTTTGATTTGCAATAGCAGGTCCAAGTGGCCAGGCTCGTACCTGCTCGCAAGCGATGAAGCCATAGTTGTTACCAGGATTGAAGGACTTGATCTGTCCAATGCAAACTTCGCCGGTGCCTTGGATCCGGTCTGTTCTGAAGTCCATCCATCAGCCTTCCACAAATGCCATCATCTGCATAAAGCAGCACTCAGCATCTTCTTGACAGGTGGCCAAGAGGTTTTGTCGCTGTCTTGGCTTCCATGCAAATTAGAAATACGTGTGAGTTTTGCAACTCTGGACAAGCTATCGACTCTGCCCGCATCCACCAAGCGTCTTTGGGCTGCTGCGGCTCCAGCATGACTTGTGCAGTGAGGTCACCCGGGGTGGGCTTCCATAGTTCGTCACAAGGTGCAGCATCGGATACCTGAACGAACAGACTTGTTTCTACTTCTGCTGTCCACAAGATCTCTTTTGTTGTTAAGCGGTTCTTGACGACTGCGGTAGTTGACGTAATCCCCGTGCGCGATGCTCATGATTTCTGCACATGCCAAGGAGGTATGGCAAGTTTTCCAGGGAATTGTGTCCTCGATCTACCCTCGGACTGGAAGCAGCTGCCCCTGACCCGTCTCAGCAGGATCTCCCTTTTTCCGTGTCACCTCTTGTACGGCGGGATAGATATAAGATGTATGGACAAGCTTGCGGGAACACTCGGCCTGTTGAATTTCGGGGCGACCTATGTCGCTTTCAAATTCGCTCTTCCACAGCCAGCATGCCAATGTCGGGGAAATTGCAGCCCGGCGCCTACAAACAAACCCAGGGTCGTTGAAATACAAGCCACCAAATCGAAAAGGAGGAATCGCAGAAAATCGTCGTCTCACCATTGACACACACACACACACACCGCTTCCGAAACAGCAGGGGCAACCTTCGCTGAACACGCGAAGTAAAGATGCGAACAAGTGGTGATGGCTTCCCCGTGTTGCAGCCGGCACCTTGGTTTCTGTTACCAAGGTGTCTCGTCTGCTTATTCCCACTTGGATCCAGTGGACGGTTTCTCTTACCACCTTCCTGGACGTGTTTAAGGCCGTTTACCGCATGAAGGCATGGTCCCTGGTCTTGGAGATGCCCCGTTCTGATAAACCACCCAAATGTATACCTCAACATGCATATACATATCATATGTGTGTATACATACATAGAGACAGACAGCCAGCCAGCCAGCCAGCCAGCCAGCCAGCTAGCCAGGCAGACAGACAGACAGAAGGCACACATTCAACAATGCTCCGGTGTGCATAAAGCCTCTCTACCCTTTCCGGGGCCTGCCGGACGCATGTTGGATCATGGTAGCACATGGGCTGCTGATGCACTAAAGGGCACTGATTCACAACAACTGGATCTGGTAGTGATCCTTTTTTGGTAGTTCAACAACCATGGTTCAACCTTACAGGAAGCAGAATTCACAACAGCACCAGCATGTGAATGCTGCTGCAAACTTCTTGAACAAGCTGTGCTTTAGTCGTCTCGCTTAGCACGCATCCCTCAGACTGCCGTTGAGCTGCGTTCGGCTTCCCTTCACGATTCAGCACTGCATTGAAAGAGACGGTCGACCCAGCCACAAGCTTCGATGCTATTTCCTTGCCCACGTATACCTCGGATCGTTCCAGAAGGGACCAAACGATCAACTCTTCACAGTCAGTAGGGTCTCCCACACACCTCAATCTTTTCTTGGGAATAAATTTACTCAGTTCGTCCTCCTGCCTCGCGCGGTTCGCGTGTCGTAGAACAGGTCTGAATTGAACTTTCCGGTCTCTATATCAAAAGGATTCTCTCCGGGCCATATTTCTCCTAGAGACGGGATTTCTTTGCGCACCCGAGAAAAGCATTTCTCAACACTCTGCCAGCTACATCTCGGTCCAAAAAGGTCTTGACTTCTGCACATTCGACGAAGCAATGTCCATTTGCGGTTGTCTTGAAAACGCCTTTCCTGAGCTCAAACAACTCGATCACGCATGCCAGGATCCGACTGCAAACAAGAGTCAAGGCGAAGCCGGGGGTGCCTTGGCTGAGGTCTAAGATGCTGTGACAGCCGTCCTGCCGTGAAGCCGCAGCCCAGACCCTCCGCAGCTGAATAGAAACGGCTTCGCAGAAAAACTCACTATCTGAGCATCCCGGATGTCGACGGTCCGAGGCGCTACATTTTAACCGCAGCAGGTTGGCAGCTTGAGGCTTCTGATCGTCTGACATGGAGAGGCCAAAAGCAACAAGATCTCCTCTCGGAAAGCAAGAGCCCCACACTCGGGCACAGCATTGCTCCTGCTTGTTCGGAATCCTGCAGAGCAGTCCTGGTCCAGCCAGGTTTTGAGCGAGGACTTGCAGCGTCACGAACACATCATGCCTCAGCTGGTTTTTTTAACCAACAACAATCCTTTACAACTGCGCCAAGGAGCCCGAAAAGGTCTCTGACCGGCTTGCATTCCTGAGGCTGCTTCTGTCAACATCTGAATATTCCGATGGTAACCGAGAGTATTCCATGTACAGATAATACACCGCTACACGTGTGTGCTGACATGCAGCCACGTGCATGCCCGGAAGTCTGCCTATGTGCACCAGAATTTTGTCAAGCAGACCAATGCAGACCTGTACATCTGAAGTCTTGCAGGCATGCAGAGATGTAGAGCTTTGATTTGCGAGTATGCCAGTATATCAGCATATGGTCCCCTATGTGGCTGAATCAAACTCAGCCGACTCACAGGCAAAAAGAGAGGGTCAGGGCACATTAGGGCGAAGCCTCTCCTTGCATGCTACCAGGAGAGACACGTAGTCGATTGTGTAGCAACAGAGACACGGGTCTGATCAATTCATCCATCGATCGGTGGATGATTGGATGAAAAGTTGCTTGCAGTGGCAGTCAGTAGATAGACTATCACGGGGACAGATGGACGGGTAAAGCGGACGTTGCGAGAAAATTGGGGTGAGTGGGAGGATTCCACTTCGGGAAATGCAGGACCTTTCAAGTCCAGAAACTGCAAACAAGTCGCGATGAAGCCGCATTCGCTCTCCTGGGCTCTTGTTGACTGTAACTGCTTCCCACGTGCCGAGCAAGGCCACCCCGTCTCCCAATCCGGGCCTGGGCCAAGGAAGCAAGGAGACTTTGTGTAACCACAGCTGGGGGCTCTTTCAGGCAGGATTCCGGAAAGACGCTGATCACGGTCCCCGAGAACACCATCAGAGCCTGATAACATAAAGCATTGGCCTCTCGATTCTTGACCCGTCCTAGCGGTCCTAGCAGATCGTAGTCGCATCTGCAGCAATGCCAGTGGTGGCACGAAAATGGCGCTGACTTCCGTCAAGTACAAAAAATCGGGCGGCACTGTTTTTGCACCCTGAAAAGGTTCTTTCTACTCTCTCTCCTGCCTAGGGTTCGCGCCCCGTTTGGGGCTTCTTTCAAGCCCTTGCCCAGGGCAGGTGCTCCGACCCCTGAACATTCCAGCTCGCAGCACTAAAGGGTGTAGGGCTTAGGGACAGCAGGGAGTCAGGGATTGCGGGGGCCGTGATTCTCCCAAAGATCATCTTGGGTTGGGGGTCAGGGCTTTGCGGGTTAGGGTTCAGGGTTTGCCGCCAGGGTAGGGCTGTAGGTTCTCTGCTTTTTACAGTGTAAAATGGAGAAAGATTGGCCGCAGGACGGTCTGCCGCCTGGGGCGGCCGAGGCTGTGCCCACTTTTTCTCGATTTTACATTGTAAAAAAAAAGGGCGTGGGTTTTTGCTGCTGGAAAAGGGGCAGAGGGGGCCGCTCATTTTTTCTCCATCCTGCAAAATGGAGAAAAAATGGGCGTCGGCGTTCCGCTGAAAAAAGGCCGCCGCGAGGGCCGTCCAGAAAAAATGAGCCCAAAATGGACGGCCCAAAACAGGTCACCGGAAAAATGAGCGCAAAATGGCCGTGCCGTTTTCCCTTGGACCAGGCCCTTGGACAGAGAATAGGTGCCCAAAGGGCTTTATCCTCTATCCTATCCCCCGATCCTTCCCAGCGCCTCGCCCTCCATCCGCTCTGGTCCCCAAGACTTTTCCGCGCCATAGCAGCAAACTTCGCAGCAGCGGAAGCTTTGGGTGGACCCAGAGCCGTGGCCACGGGGGTCCAGGAAAAAATGGACACCTTATTCCCCGAATGATCGTTTTCATTTCTGTGAGAACAGGCAATCAATCTCCATTTCCTGCGTCCATTTATTCGTGATTTTGGCTATTCTCAGGTATGCATCTGTTAGCATGATCCGGACGTCATAATCTTTCGCCAAGCCCAAATTGTCACATGTCCTGAACATTCCCCCGGATCCCGATTCATCGCACAGCTTAAACACGCCCCCTCATCCGGCGATCCCAGTTGACCACGTTTCTCAAACCCGCTGCCTCACTTGGCGATCCCGGTTGATCACATATCTTAAACTCGCCCCCTCCTTTAGCGACCCCGACTCATGACAGATCTTGTCTTGAACACACCCCCTCAGAAGGTGATCCCGGTTGATCACATATCTTAAACATGCCACTTCATCCGGCGATCCGGCTGATGACGAATCTTGAACTCGCCCCCTCCTTGGCCAGCCCTAATCATCCCATATCCTAAACACACACCCTCCTTGGCGATGCCGTTTCCTTGCATGTCTTAAACATGCCTCCTAAACTCGCCCCCTGCTTTCTTTGGCGATCCCGATTCAGCACATATCTTAAACGTGCCAAACACGCCCAACCGGATTCAGCACATAGCTAAAACACGCCTCCTCATTTGGCGGTCCTCGTTGATCACATTTTTTAAACACACCCCCTCATTAGGCGACTCCGGTTGAGTACATAGCTTAAACAACCCCCGCTCATTTGGCGGTCTTCGTTGATCACATATCTTAAACACACCCCCTCATTAGGCGACCCCGCTTGAGCACATAGCTTAAACAACCCCCCTCATTCGGCTGTCGGCTCCTCGTTGATCACATATCTTACTTAAACATGCCCCTCTCACTAGGCGAGCCCGCTTGTTCACATTTGTTAAATCCGCGCCCTCCTTTGAGGATCCCGATTCATGACATATCCAAAAGACGCCCCCTCATTAGGCGATCCACTTTCCTTAATTGTAAATCCCGCCCTCTCATGGGGCGAGCCCGAATAATCACATATCGTAAACATCACATATCATCAGCAAGCCCCTTCGTTAGATGTTCACCACATATCTCAGATCTTAAACACGCCCCCTCATTTAAATTTGACGATCCCGGTTGAGCCCATGACAGCACATGTCTTAAACCCGCCACGCCACTCATTAGGCGATCCCGGTTGATCACGTTTCTTAATAAAACCCCGCCCCCATATTTGGCGATGCAGCTTGATCACATATCTTAAACTCACCCCGATTCATCACATATCAAACCCGATGCTCTCGCCGGTTGAATGTCCAATTCTAAGAACAGGCCACTAACAGAAGGGAGCTTGGTAGAGCGTCTGAAATGTCAGGGAGTTTCTTTGCTGCAACTGACTGCTGTGTTTTCGGGTCCGCTTTGCAGTGGCGGTTTCCGGCACGGTGCGTGCACCAACAACAGGGGCACGTATCTGAGGGCATGGAAAAAGCCCTGTGTGGCCTGTCAAGTTGCTTTTTGCCTTCCTTAAAGATTCTTTGGTTCCTTCTGCTTCACAGGCCCCACTCAAACCCCGTTGCCGGTGGAGGAGGGCGTTCTGTAGGACCTCTGGGTGGCCAGGGCGACACGAAGTTACCGTTTAAAGCCCGCCGCTGGGTAGCAGGGCGTTTATCTGAACATCTCGGGCCCGAGGAATCTTAATCCGGGCGGCAAAGGGGCCACTTGAAGCCCTGTCCAGTGAGGAGAAGGCTTTGTTTTGTCATGGATACATGGCGGAGGGGCAGAAGAAACCCATGAGCAGGAGAGAAAGTTTTTGACCGTCCACATTGGTGGAGGAGCAGAAAACCCTGGACAGGCAGGGTAGAATGCTTTTTTTGGACTCTGTCCACGCATGCTCAAGCAGTTGCGGACCGCACGGGCTAGCCAGAGCACAGAAAGAGCCTTTGCGACAGTACCCACGAAAACCCACAAGGTCCGAAAAAACCCAGCCCGACAACACCCCCTACAAAGTTCCTCTGGGAAAAAGTTCATCCGCACAACAGCTGCGCGGTGCGCCTGCCCTGGAGCTGTTGGACTCGTGCGCCTGCCTGCGCGTGCTTGGCGGTTGCCGTTCGAAGTGCATGAATCATTGGACAACGCCTTGCTGCACCCGTGCTACAGGCATGACGCAAAGATTTTTTGCTTGCTTGCACTCTTGTGCAGACCGCGGGCGAGAGTTCCGGGGTTCGTTCTGTCGAAACAAGAAGAGATACGTTTACAGTGTGCCAGGAATCTAGAGCAATTGTTCAAGCAAGATTGCCAAGCAATCTTGCAATCCTGCCCCATTTAGGGGAGGGAGCAAGATTGCCAGCAATCTTGGAATCTTGGTCTAAATGGTAATCTAGTCGGCGAGCAAGTGGGGCAAGATGACCTAGATGACCAAGATTGCAAGATGAGACCAAGATTGCAAGATCGCTGGCAATCTTGCTTACTCTCCAATTAATTGCTTTCGATTCCCGATACAATGTACTTGTAATAAAACCAAAACAAAAATGATAGTGGTCGATAGGTGGGTGACCACCCCTCTTTATCCAGGCACTGCTTTCCCGCACCTGTGTCCAGCCGCTGCCGCTTATGTGGCGGTGGGGACATCTCTTGTTGCTCAGAGCCGTCTGTAAATGAACGCACCTCACGGATGACTTGCAAGCGGAGGCGCTCGCAACAGACCAGACATGAGTCCTCCGACAAAGCCAGGAGGCATTGATTGCCTGTGGCTGACCCTTCGGCGAAAGCCCAACTTCGAACTGCACTGTCTCGCCAACGTAGTGACCAACAAATTCTCTGCCTCGAGCAGATAGCTTTGGCTACCCGCGGCATCTCAACAGCAACCTGTCCTTTCCGAGCGGCCGTGCATAAACGTGTCGCAGCCGTACAAAGCCTTGACCTCCTAGCCGGGAGGGAATGTCGAGTGTCTCGGCAAGCTACACAGGCAACCAGAAGCCTGCTGGCCAGGCAATGACAACAGTGAAAAACCCTTTCTGTGTCTGCTTTTGGACCTCAGGCAGCTACCCCTGGCTTCCCGAAGTCAGTTAGTGTCTGTACTCGGTACCTCGCAGTCGATGAAACCATAGTTATTGCCTCAGACATCATTCCCGCTTGCACCAGAAAGAGGGATGCACTCACAACAGCAACAACAACATCATCATCACCAAGCAAAGCCGAGAGTCTATCATTGAATGATTTTATGAATCCTCAGCTGAGTTGCACCTCCCTTCACAAGTTGCAACGAGGAAGGAAGCTAAAACTTGGACCACGGTTTGAAAGCCCACAGCGGTGCAGGCTGCCCGTCCCTACACAAAGAATGCAGTATGAAGAGCTCCTGCGAAGCCGGCAATGTGACTGTTTCCAACATTCGGCAAGAGTCCACTGGTCATCATCCCAGTTGGGACAGGCCTCGCAGACCCTGCACCGGAAGAACTGGTGACATGACATGTCCGCACAGGCTCCGCAGTGGGCCACGGGTTGGGGCGATTTCGGCTAGGTTCCAGCTGCGAAGGCTGCACCTTTCAAGCAAGATCTACTGGCCCAGATGCACGCTTCTTGCGCAGGAGTTGGTGTGACGTTGAAGCCGTTCCACAGTGTCAACTCCACACCGGACTCCCAGATCAGTGTGTTGCAGGTTCGTCCCTTGCATTCCCTTGCTTTGCCGCGCCCCCTTCCTGGACAGTTCTCTTTAAGAACGTTTACATCTATGTAGGTGTGCTGTGCGCTCTGGCTTGCAGCTTAACAGACCTGGCCTGGTGATAGCTGGGTGTATACTTCGTCGGACTGCTGCAGATTCTCCGTGCTTTATTAAAGTGCTGTCAGGCCTGAGGCTAAATTGCTCCTTCCTCCGACGCTTTGCAAGACTGACATCATGGGCATCGAGTTGGCTCTCTGATGCGTGAGCAAGCATGCTTGCGTGCACCTGCTTAAAGAGTTTGGCCCATTTTGGCCCTTGCAGGAGGATCAGTTCAGAGTTGTCAGGCAGATGCGTATCATTGCGTATCCTTCGCCATCCTGTCACCAGGTTGACAGCGTGGATTCCGGCGCTCTATTTCGCACGAAGGTCCATAATAAAGGATCGGCCACATCTCCATGTTGCACTCAAGGAAAGGGGCAGTTCTTCCTCTGCAGAAATGTGATACTGTACTGTGCCTGGTACATCTGCCAGCACCCGGGAACTTCCCAGGCATGGCCAGATCAGCCCCGTAACTGCATAACACCAGCGAGGGTTTAGGGTTTTAAGTCTCGGCCTGCAGGAAATTGGCGAGATAAGGAGAGCTCGCTTCCTGGCATGTTTTGGCCTTCCGCACCGAATCCGTGCGCCCGCACTTTCACCTGCCAACGAAAGCACGTTGCCAGCCAGGTCAGGGAGGCTCTTGACAATGACCGACAGAACAGGCTGAAGGGACCTGAGCCCGCGCGGCCCAGACTTCTTCCGGTGCAAGATCGACCTGCATTGGAAACAAGACAGACCCGCAAACAAAAAGTCCGATCGAACCCATGTAGACACAGATGCCCGAGTACTCACTCAATGCCACACAACAAGAGCTCTAAGTCATGCTGGTCGACTTGTTGTGAGAGATCTGGCGGCATAGGCGACCAGTCTGGGCCACACTCGGCCATGTCAGAAGCATTCCTGGTAGCCACTCAACTCGCGCGCAACATCTGCCGTTCCTAGTGCAAGCAAGCTTCGGCATGCCCTGCGCGTTGAGAACCACATTGAAGCCTACACCCAGCTCCCAATCCACGTTCGGTTCACAGCTTGGCTACCATGTTTAGGTAGCAGAACTTGCGGTGCCGAGAAACTAACCCGCTGACCAGGTGCGACAGAGCAAGCCAGGTCCTTGTGTACATAGACATCACCTTGAGAGCAGATGAGTTCAAAAAACAGCCACAGCTCTACTGCTGAAGGTCTTCCAAGGTATCTTCACTGCTGCACATCCCAGTGGCGGCCGAAAAAAGCTTTCACAACATCGCTTTCAATGAAGCCATACCCCAGGCTCCCGCGTTTGAAGACACCGCTCCTTGCAAGCGCAAGGTCAAGAGGGGTCATGCGATAATCGCGTCGTGCCGATTTCTTCTGCATGACAAGTCATGCAAGTATCAGTTGCGATCATCCCCAGCTCCAAGCCCTTCAAAACCACTTCTTGGTTTGGAGCGAAGTGGGCTTGGGGCTCGAGTGCGGTTGTTCATCACAGCGCTCGTGGCGCCCTACAAGTTGAGCAACATCGAATCTGGGAAGGGCTGATTCTCAGGAGACGTACCAGGAAGAAATAAGTTAGGCACCTTGGCCTGATGCAATTCGAAGTGACGAAGTGCTGGTGGACGTATTATCGTTTGAGGCGCATGTGCCTCGCCCATCCTTCAGGTGTCTGACCCTTTGTCGTTCTTTCTTTCTCTCACTGACCTCCAAGGATAACATCATATTTCACTTGTGAGACTGGCTGCTCAGCTCATGGCAGACCTACTGACGGATTCTCACAACCCGAAGCACAAACTCCCAGAAGCTTTTAAGCCTGGCAGCAGCGCATATGCGCCATCCACGAAACACCTGAGTCGCAGCATTGGATGCGATGCCTCGCAGGGAAACAACCATACCGAAACACTTTTGACGACACCAGCCATCAGACAGAACATGAGTAATTCATTATGCTGCACCTGCGGAAGCCCTTTGCTGGAAACGTGGATGAAGAAAGCAACTACATCACCAGGTCCGGCGACACCAGACTGTAGCACATTCTCGAAAACATACACGTCCTGGCTCATTGCGCTCAAACGCAACATGCTCAAATTGCAAGTTTTCAGTCACAGAGTACAAGATTTGCCGCTGCCTGCCCACAACTTGCTTTCACATCGGGACAGTAGATGAAACCAGACCTTCTTGCCTGCACATCCGGGAGGAACGCAACTTGCAAAAACTAAATAAACGCAAAATCAGAAGCAAACGGTCGCATGCTGCGGCGGGGATGCTGGGTTGTAGCTTTTGACGAGACCCCAGTAGACCTCAGTGACGGCCCAGCTATGGAGCAAGCACATACTCCCCAGCTCAAGTAATGAGCCGGTATGTTACTTTGCAGCCACACCTGCTATGCTCCGTCTGCGTGACTGTTGCTTGGACAGCTGGGAATTAGGTACCATCTTGCTCCCAGGCTTATTCGTCTTGCGTGCTCAGTTCCAGCTCTCCGCACACGCTGCCATCTGAATTGGAAAGCAACCCTTGCCACCACACTTCTACGACCCAGTGGCCCCAGCACTAGCACTCCTACCAGCGTGCAAGTACAATATGCTTGTCGTCACGCGTCGTCGTAGCTTAGGGCATAGGCAAGTTTGACGGATACTGCCATGAGGCTTTCTTGCGGTGAGACTGCCTGGGTCTTCATATTAAGTGAGAGCACCTGCTCCCCAGCCTGCCTTTTTTGGGCGGCTTGCCGAACATCACGGCCTGACCGTGACGCAGGTGACGGCAGGTCATGCGTCCGAAAAGCTTTGCCAACCTTGCGGACTGTCATCCGCGGCATCAGCTTCGAAGCTCTGTCTGCCACGCTTGCGTCCGGCGAAAGCTTCAGGAAGGCCAGAGGGCCTCCAAATCATGGAGAGACCGGAGTTTTGCAGCTTCAAGCGCGCTCCGCCTGCTTGGAGTTGGTGTCAAGACGGGATTCCAGAGTCTGGGCGGTCTTGCCCTGGAGCCACAGATTTCAGTGGGATCGCGCACGGCCAAGCTGATCACTCTCAGCTAAGGTGCTGTTCTTTTGGCATCGCAAAGGCCAGTGGAGGTGGCTGTCGAGCATCTTGAGTGGAAACGGAGGTACCTGAGCTTGAAAGCCACTGGCTTGTTGATCACTGCTACAGTTCTCGCGATGTGGAATCAACCAGGCCCTCCCGTCCGTTCACACTCTCTGCCAAAATAAACAAGGCTCCGTACATATCGCTTTCCACCACCTCGGACACCCTGCCTTCACTGCCCTCTTCCACGACAGACTCGTCGGACCCGACCGCCACAAGCCTTGCTGCTCAGTCAGAGAGGCACTCACAGAGAACATTCCCTTCGCTGCTTCCAGGGAGCTGGTACGCCATTGTATGCCAGGCGAGCTTGGGCTAGCGAAGGATTCCATGAATGCACCGCGGCATATCCGCGTGGTGAAGAAATGCAACGGATGGCATGACTTCTTATCCGAATGCTCCTGTGTAAGAGTGATATTTCGAAATGCAAAGCAAAAGCCAGTTGGCATGCTTTCTATCTTTGCCTGGGGATTTCAAGCTATGTCAGTTGTCGAATCATATGCTACCTCTCGCTGCTCATCAGAGCATGGTTTGGCATTGGGTGCTTCAGAGTTTAGAGTTCCAGTCTCGTGTCATGCCAAGTCGACTTGGGCCATGTTCTCGACTCGGCACAGATCTCTCACAGCTACTCCAAGAGATCGGAGCAACAAATTTTTCTCTTGGGCACCCATCCAATGTCTTACCTCCTCGTGGCTCACCGGGAACCACAATATTGCACGCACTTAGTCATTCCCTGAAGCTTGCTATTTGTACCGGAATGCTCGGGGTGCTCTACAAAACTGGCTTATCCAAAGGGTTACTTGGGAAAGGCGGTGACTGCCATGAAAAGGACCATGGCAGTGGCCAGGAAGGCTCTCCAGAGAAGCTGATGAAACAACGTTTGCTCAACAATTTACTAGGTTAGCCCTGATTGGAAAAAGAGTGTTACATATGTGCTGAACAGACATGCAGGAAGCTGTCTGAGGTCCAGGCGAAATCATCAAGACTCACGAGTCTGTTGTCCTCATTTCAGAGCATCCCTTTGCAGCATCAAGCCCAAACAAGAACACCAACTTTGGCGATGCACATCCAGCATACAAGCAGAAGAGACCAGGCATTCACAGCAACAAGACCACTCGCGACGGAAGGCGGGGAGTGGAAGCTCTGCCCGAAACCACGCACTCAGGACAGATCAGGAGGGTGGGACACAGGTTTCTGGAGCTTGTTCGATCTAGAAAGCCAAGAAGGTGGAGGCCGTCAGACACCAAGGCATTGCGACCCGAATGGGCGCATGTTGCAGTAGCCAAACTCTGCCGAACACTTCAGGCCACTCCTCAGGCAACTCGGCCAATAGGACGTGAGACACCAGGCGCAGGTTAGCATCAACCTGAGTGGCAGGGTCAAGCCAGGAGTCTGCACATGGCAATTAGAGCAGCTTGGTTCCAGCCCGGTCCCAGGGCCTTGCACGTGCGGCAGTCCAGCGGGGCACATCTCACTTTTTACGCTGCAGCATTGCTCACTTCTCGGCAGCCCTGGTCTAGAGACATTTCACATGCCTGATTGGCCTGCATCGAATCCACGCAGCACGCGTGAATTGCAGACTCAGTGATGAACGGTGTGGTGTCGTCGGCTACGACCAAAACGGCACATGCGTGGGATCCGTCACTCGCCCTGCACCTTGCACAGCATAGCAACAGAAAAGCAGCCACCATTAAAATGTCACGTGATAGCTAGGCTAATGGCCAACCAAGTTCAATAAACCCCTTCTCCGCGCAAGCAGAATGTAACACGACAATCTGCAAACATGCCGCCGAACTCACACTCGCACTCTGACAAGGAGCCACACCCTGACTGTCCAGATAAGCACTTGGAGGGTACTTGGCCGGCCCTCCACCAGCTCCGACTGCAACTGGCATCCTTGTTCCGCCGATACAATCTACAGGAATCTACCGGTCTCAGTCTGGCTCTCAGTCTCCTGAACGCTCCTGGTTGCACCAAGCCAAGCATCTTGAAGTCAGCTGTCGCATTGAAGAAGAAAGCAAGGGAGCTTCGCGGATGGTCCTTGCATGTTGCATGCTGTTGTGCTGGCATGGCATAGGTTTTCAAGGGCGTTCCGTCAAGAAAAGCTGGTTCGTTCTAAACAGGACAAGGTGCGCTGGCATTCAACACGTAATGCCGTGCGGATTGGAATGTGTCCTTAACGCTTCGATATGCCTTGAACATGGAAGGCCCGGCCTACGAAAAGTTGCTGCATCCTAGCGAGTGCACCTCAGCTGTTGCCCAGACTCGTTTGAAACTTGCCGCAGGATTTCCCCAGCATTCACGACCAAAGCGCCCGGCTTTGTAGGAACGCGCACCCACCGCTCCGAGCAAAACGCCCAAACCTGCGAGTCAGCGGGAGAGCAGAAAGAAATGAATGCCAGGGCTCCGAGCGTTTCCTGACCGCGAGTCAGGGAAGCTATGAATCTGTAAGTACTGCAAGTACCGGTGCAAGCCGGTGTGAAAGCTGCTGTAGGCAGAGGGATTGAAAAACTGTCCCAAAGTCCGCTCTAATGCTGCAGGACCTGCAGGATCCAGCCAGAGCCGGCCGTCCTGCCCTGTGACGTGGGGTTTTTCAAGGAGTCTAGTTACCGCCTCGCCGTCTGCGCTTCTAATGTAAAAATATGTAGCGTATTGAAGTGCGCACATGAAAATGCATTAGTGGCTACCTCTAATTCACCTTCAAGGCAGAATCATCAAGGCGTAATGTTCGGGAATGAGACCCGTACAGTGTCTGGGTTGCGCTGAGCACATAGTGTGCCGGCATTCTCACCTCGCCCTACGGAATCAAGAGCAGCTGCTAATGAAACCAAGGCACGACGAGGCTAGACTCAATCTCAGACCGGTGCAAGAGCGTAAAGAAGGATGTGTCGACATGCGGTGCAATTCCGTACTGGCCATCCTCGTAGCCTTGCGAGGGATGCACAAGGCAGGAGGGACATTGCACTCCCACACCGTCCATTACTAAGGCGGGCCTGAACAGGCAGGACACCTTGACAGCCTCAGCCTCCACAATGGCGATCGAAATGCAGGATTCAAGTACGAATCGGCTTCGCCTAGAGCTGCAGAGAGAAATGGCAGCAATTTGCAAGCCAATTCCTCCATGGCTGCTGCATACTGCTCCACCGCTCTCCTCCATGCTATCCCAAGCTCACAGGGCCAGGGCATATCTTCCAATCGAATGTTTCTTGGGCCATGCTCACGCTTGACGATGAAGGCCTCAACCACGTTTCCTTTCGGCCTTCGTGGAAGCTTCCGGCTATGCAGCGGCAGATAACCAGTACCGGAAGGGAACCTTCCCTGGTCCATTGTATACTTTTGCTTGACTTCATAAGACAAGCTCCCAAACTCTTCAATAAGTCGCGTCCCGGCATCCAAGACATCCTGTTCGATGCCGTGGTTTGCGAGAAAAAAGAATCCAACCTTTTTGCAGGCATCGCGCAGTCTTGCCACAAAACCTTCGGGGTCTTCGTGGCATGTGGCCCAGTCGATGGTCGGAATTTCATCCTCTGATGCGATAGGAATGGTATCCAGGCAGCTGGGAGCCGCCCAGCCGATTGCTTCTTTCTGTAGTGATGCTTCCTTGGCTTCGGCGTTAAAGAATCCTGCATCAGCATTTTCGCCGACTCGCACAGGGCTTCGGCTTCGCGCGGAGCGTGCAATGGAGGCACGATCAGTTGCAGCCTCGAGAAGGCGACCTAAGGCCCCTAAACCAACGGCCGCTCCGTCTGCTCGCAGAGAATATTCCTCAAGGATCTCTCCTGATAACCGCTTGCTGCCTTCGCAGCCACTTCGCCGCAACACAGTGTTCAAGCAATCACCCAGCTCGCCCAGAGAAAGTAGGCCATCTTTGTCAGCATCAAACTCTTGCAAGCAATCTTCTGCTGACGGCAGCCGGAGTCTGCTCAGGGCCATGGCAAAAGACTACCACCCGACGATTCATTCATGTTGTCTTCAATCCGCGAATGCTGTTGTGATGCGCATCTCCTCGTGACACTGGGTTCTGTGGCTGGCTCTTGTTCAACAAGCCCCAATGTACCATCAGCATGATCTTTCGGGAATCACCTCCGACTGTCTGACGGCACACTTTCGAGCGATACAGGCATCACTTTTTGCAGCTGTCAACTGCACGGCCTGCACGAGATGTTGCACTGCACTGCTCTGCACCGATGAAGCTCACTTCGAAGCCAGGTGCAGAAGCAGACAATCTAACGGAAACGACGAAACCAACCGTCAATCTTTCACCAGGCTGGCTTCGAGAACTCTATCTTGCTCGTCGCACGAGTGGAGCCGATACACAGGGGAATTGCTGAGGGAGCCAGGGCATGACTGCTCCCAAGCGAGGTGAAGGACGTACGAGTGAGTAGGAAGAGGTCAAGGGCTCGGACTCAGCTCATCCGTTTGCTCTTTAGAGGACTGCTTGCCTTGCTTGCACTTTGACAACTATCAAAAAAAAACGAGGTTGAGACGTGTCACCGGTTTGAAAAGCAGTCTGGCTAAGCCATCACTGGATACGGCACCCATCAGAACAGCAAACATGGTGTTCCACGCGCACTTGGTCCAACTCCTCCTCGCACTCGTCACGGCATCCACTTATATACAAAGGGACGACAGCGTATTAATCGTAGCTATCATTACTTGGTGATTGGAGCTGCATTTCCCGGTGCAGCAGGCTTCAACCCCAGATTTCTGTTTGCACCGACTACCGACCCAGACCCAGCGACTTTCAAAACAGCTGAACGTGCCGCTGAAAGAGGCGACTTCAGCAGTCCTGCGTGCACGGCACTTCCACGTGGGAAGAGACGTTGATGTCCTCTTCCACCAGGCCGTTCCTGGCTTTGCGGGTTTGCAGCTTACGGAACGCCCCAAACACGTCATGCCTGGATACAGGCTGCCCGTTGAGGATGGGAGACTGGCCTGATGCAAACATCTCTCGGTTGGGTGTGCCTTCGCTGTCCCTTGATCTGAGAAGCCAGACCCACGCTTGTTCTGATAGCAAGCGGTTTGCTGCGCTTCCGAACACCATTCTCCTGCAAGCCATGTGTTTTATGCGCACAACATGAAGTGGGACGGATTGATCTCTCCTCTTTGTCAATGTGCGAATCAATCACCCGAGCCTCAGCCGCCATATCGATACACACGATCATGCTCCGCTTGTTCTAGAATCGTATGGTGGCTGACACCCATTCAATTGAACGAGGTTGCAGCCACTGAATGTCTTAAACTCTATTTGTGTGGGCGCATCTGTGATGCCTCAAACAGGCAGGGGAAACAACAAAGAGCAAAGCCGAGAGGACCCCATACCTAGTTTTGGATCTATGACCGTATAGGCCACTCCACCCAAGAGATCCAGAGTGATCCGGCACATGGAGTCGGAACATTAATGTAAACCTGGACCGACGAGCAGGAGCCGACTCTCAGGAAAAGGAAGACCGGATTGCGGACTCAGGAGCAGCAGCATCCGCATGATGCTGCTTCACATCTCCGTAGCCGCCTCTAAGATATTCGATCCACTCCTGCACTGGCTTCGGCTCTCACAGTAACAAGCAGACCCTCACTGCGGGCCTCATAGGAGATTCTTCCGTCATGCTTGAGATCAGCCTCGTCCCTCAAGTCACATGCTTCGCCAATCGAGCGGCTTCAGTTTAAGGGCATGCTGCAACTTGCAAAGATTCATCCAAGCCGCAACAGCGTCTGCACCTCGTTGCCTTCAAAGGTTTCACCCAGCACCTCCTTGAGGTTGTCTACCTTCAGATTACTCTCAGATAGACTACAGATCACGGGCACTGCATCGGAGCCGGACAAGGCAACCCTAGATTGGGTGGAGCCCTAGAATCAGATCCTGAACTCGCGGTCACTCACGCACACTTAGACATCATCCAAACCCGTTCCGACAAACCTGCGTGCTCACATGCGCTCACGAAGGCATGCTTGCACCCGTGGAGCCTTTTAATCTCCAAGCATGTGACATGCATCTTCCGCCGAAGCGGCAGTGATGAAACCGGAGTTGTCAGTGTCAAAGCGACGGAAGGCCACCTGTCGCACAGAGACTTCGGTCCGGTCGCGGAAGGACAGGCCAGCCCAGTAAGGCGAATGCCCGAGAGCCTTTGGTTCTGTCTTTGAGAGGCAGTACAGTAGAACAGAAATCTTCCCGCACAGGTCCATCAAACGCCTTCAGGAGCCACAGGTGCTAGTTCACATGTTGACTCCACCCACCAGATGAACCGCCCAGTTTGCCATGCAATGTTTCTGGTTCAGCGTTTGTCGTGTTTACATGGACGACGGGCCGAATGGTCGCTGGCACATGTCATGTCGAGGGCTGACATTGCTGCGATTGCCACATGTCTGCATCGCGGTGCCGGCACGGTAGACGATCTGATATTATGGGGGTCTAAAGTTTATCTCGTGTCGCTGCATTACCCGTAAACAGCCCGTACAAACTGTAGCACCGAACAACTATGTCGAAAGGGAGTTCGCTGCCTCGGAGACGCCCCTCTTTCATGTCTCAGCAAGGGTGTAAGTGCAAGGAGGCTGTCTGACTAGCCGTCCACAGACTCCGAAGAACGACCAGGCCTTTAGAAGGTCGTCGTGAAGTGCTATCCTTGAAGACACCTTGCTTTGATCCGTTTACTCCACGTGCAACTGCTGCAATCCAGTCATCTGTGAAAGCAGGATACCGTGAATGCATCGTACAAGCCTGTACATCAACCGGTAGTGCCACCTCACACACACAAACACAGAGTACATGTTCTAGCCCAATTTGCAGTGGAGTCGCCATTGCGGCGAGGAACTCACGGTAGTTGACCTCGTCCTGCCGACGATTGGTGGAGGAAATCAGACATTGTTGGCTGAACCAGGGAAGTCCTTGTGGTTTGCATCCAAGGCTTTGAAAGCATTCCTTTCGCAGCAGCTGCACAGTTGCCAAGCATAAATGGGAACGATGTCTCTTCTCGACGGTGCTTGGGTACAATTTGATTCTCATGAAGGGCTTGTGGCTGGCTGGCGACGTTCATACACGATGCCTCGCGCTGCTTCAATAACTATTTGTGATTCAGTTGTTGCTCTCTCTCCGTCTCCAGCAGGGCAGGAATGACACTGCGGGGCACAGAGTCCGCACTTCAAGGTTGCTCAAGACAAGGCAACTTTGCGGAACCTCGTCTCGTCTGCTTTCAGCTTTTGCCCACACACCGCCATCCACTATCCGAAGAAAACAGCCATCACTGATGTCGGAAGGCAAAGGGTTCGTTTACGAGCTTGGACATGAATACCCGGAACGAGTGCCAGGTCGAGGGTTTGCAACTAGTGTGCACTTTGTCCTTCCGAAGCAAGAATCGTAATCAATCATCAAAACACACTCTCTCTCTCTCTCTCTCCGGGGACAAGGACAAAACACTCTTTCTCTCTCTCTCTCTCTCACGGACTCAGCCACCTGTCAGCAGCGACGCGCAGCATATCAAGACACTCAGAAAGGAACACGCTTGCAAAACCATCTACAAAACTTGCAATCAAGAACGCTGAGAACAAGTAACCGGTTTTTCTTCTGTCACTGCGCCGGGGAACTCCAGAGTTGCATCGTCCATCTTGATGTTCTGCTCCACTGCCATCTTGAACCTGGACTGCTTGGCTCTTCCTTCACTAGGGCTCCAGCAGCTCCAGTTGCAAGCCTCCTATATCAGCCGCGACAGACCAGTTCCAAAAGGTCCAAGTAGCTCATTGATTGTGATGGTGCCACTTCTGTCTTTGTCGATCGCCAAGAAGGCATCCCGGACCTGGCGTCACACCAAAATTTTGGAACTTCGTGGCCTTGCCGTTCGCGTGCCTTGCTGCGCTCTTCCACGCTGAGTGACCAAGCCATCACGCCCAAGCAAGCCCTGCGGAAAACAGACACCTCGAGCACCAGGCTCTCACAGATCTTTCCCCCAACACCCCCTAACTGCCATGCGTTGTCATGTGCCATGGCACTTTGGCAAAATTGCAAAGGTCTTCGATCATTGCTTGGTCGATCAGGCTGTCCTTGCAGTGGACGGCAAGAATGGTCGAGCCGACAAGATATCATAAGACATCCATATTCGACACTGACCTTGAATTCACCCTCACGATCCTCACGTCACAACCGTATCGGACTCCAAGCAGTGGCCTCAACGACTTCTCCGATACTGATGTTGATTTAGAAATGCACTACTCCTGCCATCCGCTTCATTTGGTGAAGCCCGACCTACCCACCCGCCCCCCACCTGCCCTTCTGCCCGCCCACCCCCACACTGGCATCACGTAGACGTAGACGTAGGATCAACCCGACGGGCCCCAGGACCGTGGCCCCAACAATTACCTCCACTGCGGAATACCGCGGAGACCGTGCACCGTCCACACCCCAATCACGCCCCAATTAAGGCCTGCGAAGCGAACAGTCGCGAGCAGTAACAGCATGAAGACATACTCTCAGGCTTGGCATGCATACCTAGCCAGCGGGCAGTACATACACACGTGAATGCCAAAACATGCCAAAACCATAGAATGCTGCGCCCTGTTCTCGCTGCGAACTCGCGACACTCGAAACACCGAGCTTGTTGCTGACAATGTTAGCAACTTGGGACATGGGGAATGAAGGCCCCTTATAGAGCCCTCCGATCCGTCATCGAGATGTCCCTGATCACCCATCCACCTAGCTAGTGTACTCCATAGAGAAGCTGCATGTTTTTCCGCCGTTCATGTCGAAGGCTGTAAATTGTCTGGCTCCAGGGGGCATGAGGCCACAAAAGCAAAGTACACCCTATCATGTAGGTGACGTAGCTGTCGGCGAGCGAAACGACTGAAAGGAGATAAGCGGCTCTTTGCTCACGCGTCTGAAGCCAGCGATGATTCAGTGCCTCCAGCTGCACTTAAAATAGAGGATTCAACTCTTTTTCCACCAGCTTTACGAGAAGACCGCGAGAAGGAACTGGTTCATGTTCCCAGCCAAATGTCAAATTCATCTCCAACGAGTATCAGACTGAAGCAATACCCCTCCGTGAGAGACACATGCTGTCATGCTGCTTGCACGTGACACCTTCCCCAATAGCAGTCTGCCTTAGCAGCCGTCAAGCGGAACTCGGGATCGACAACCAAAAGCTTCTGAACAAAGTCCTGCCGGCAGTCGCAGGGCAAGCGACATGGATAGTGAAGACTGTGCGAAAGACGTCAACAGGACTGCAATCTCGTCGCGGCCTTTGCTTCTGCAGACACCTTGTTCCATATCGCCTGCCAGCCGCTTCGCAGAGGCGCTCCATGAGGCTACTTGTGCTCACGAGGTTGCAGATATCTGCAGATGTGCCCCATCTAGCAGCTGCAGTTTGAAGGCGTTTTTGCTTGCTGGTTTGCATGAATGCCGCCGAGTCCACCGTCTGGGCGGGCACATCTCAATGGGCAGAGACAAGCTTAGTTCAACCTACAACAACGCAAGGAAGTGGTCCGAGTATTGCTGCAAAGTCAGCAAGATGTCACCCTGCGCTATCTTCCTACTGCCATAGCCCAATTGATGACCCCCAGAGCAAAGAGAGCCCTGCTATGCGTCTGACAGGCAGACCTGCTTCTTCGAGAAGTGGCCGTCCTCCATGTGACAAGCTTGCATGCAAAGCGCAAGCTGGGTAATACAGGCTGTCCTTGATGTCCCGAATCTGCTTGGCTTCTGCTCCAGAGAAAGGCATGTAGCCTTCCGAGTGGGCAGTGCCGCGCACAGGACAGCTGGGGCTGGGACACAGACTTAATTGGCACAAGGCCCTGAACTGAACATGGGCGCAGACCGAAAAGGAGGACGAAGGACACAACGCCGAGGCTCCAAAGGTCGCCTCGGGGCGGTGCCGAAAATCTGATCTTGCTTCCATGACGTCCAACCGCGACCATTTTTTTATACACTCGTAAGCATGCTCACACTTCCGAGTGTGGACGTCATTGGAGGCTCACTAATGTCGGCATGGAATGGGGCAGGTGCCAAGGCAAGCAGTATACTGGGCTCTTTGCATTGCGATGTGTAGGACTTGTCCAGCACCTGCGAATATCTCCACCAATGTCTCACTTCATGTACGTACGTGGTATCGGACACCGCCTCAGGCGCAACGTATGCCAACGTCCCACAACTGACGGCCATAGTCGTGTTCGGCTGCCATATCTTGCCTAGATGGATAGAGAACAAGAACCAAGCTTTTGCCACAAGCGCTGGTGGACATACCCCATGCTCAACAAGGGTGAAGCTGCACGCTTGCGTCCATGCGGCTGAATCCGAAGTCAATCAGCTTCAAGTGATCCGAGTCCTTATCTGAAGCTGGTAAGAGATGGAAATTGTACGTGATAACCCACCCGTGCAGCAGCGCCTTGCGCGCTGGAATGCTTGGCGCAAAACTTTGGCCTCGTAGAGAAAATTCTCCAACTTTATGTCGCGATGTACCTCAGAGTCTCGTCTCAGTGCTGAGCCCAGCAACGGGCTCAGGCAGAGCTTGCGTAACACCGGCGGAAGCTTGACACAAACATTGTGATTCCTCTGCTGCCGAGCAGCAATGTCATGGCTGTGAATGTAATTCACCGCCAACAGCATCTCGCACCGGGAATGCTTCAGCACATTCCGGTGGCTCTACAGGATCTAGTTACGCGAGTGTCAGACAGAATGAAGCTATGACAGTTATGATACCATGTGGTGTCTAGCTGGGCCTGGTACACAGCATTTGCCGCATCTTTTTCTGAGAAACGCTTACGTTCGACCACACCTGGGTACTTGGCAGATGCATGAAGATGACGTCCCTTGTGTGCGGGTGCTGAATTGAGCTTGGTAGCGGTCAAAAAGCTCGCCGCCTTGCATGCACTCCTTAGCTTTCGAAAACTAGTTTGGCGCTCCTGGCCCCTGTGGCTTGGCTCTGTGCTGCTTCCAAGACTCCATGACTAAGAAAAGCTGCTCGTCGGACTCGTAAACGTCCACTAGAGAGGCCACGTGCGGGTGGTCCATGGCAAGGAAGATTTCCTTAGTTCCACCGCTCACCAAAAAGAACTCCGGCAGGACTCAAAAACAAGCCTGCGATCTCTTCTGACTAGGGACGGCTTCACTCTCCAGCTCCTTTCGTTTGTCCTTGCTAACGCCACGCAGTTTGAACGCCTTCACTGCAAACTTCTCCTCAGCAAACGCGCGTGACTTTGGAGACTCGATCCGCGGGGGTAACGGTATTCCAAAGTTCCAGCCGGGGAACACCAGTGTGTATGCACTTTGCCAGCTTCACCTGTTCAGCTGGTCCGATGAGGCGCATTCGCCTTCTGGGAACAACTGTGTGAAATCTGGCCTCTCCGTTGTAGCCTGTGCCGAGGACCTTCATGGCGGCGAAATGCAAACAGAGTCGAATTCAGGCATGTGGCACCATTGACTCACAGACTGCCGTCCTGGACTAGCAGGTACCCTCCAGCAGTCTTAACCCTCAGGCCTTGTCCAAGCTACCGTAATCGTCTTCAAACGTCTTCGGTGGTCGATGATACCGGCCAGTGATGTTTAGCCTATGAAGCCATGCCGGAGAAGCGTTTAAGCTCAGCGACATCTTGCTGGTGCCGGCCTGCCGCTTCGCTCTGCAGCCCTTGAGGTGACGAGCGACAAGCCTTCCGATGTATCGTCTTCCCTGCAGCAGCGCATCACTCTTGAGGCATTCCAGATCTTCCTTCTCAGGTCAATGAAGCATGAAATCTTGACCCACTTCCTGCCCCGGGAGGAACTTCGGAAAGAGGCTCTCTGCTAAGTACCACGTCTGCCCTGATTCGGAAGGAAAAGCTCGCTCAAGAAACCTGCGCTAAGCCTAAGCACGCACATCTCCAACAAGTTTGCGAACTCCTCAAAAGACTGATGCAGATCTTGTCGCCGTTCAGGCATCATGATGTATCTCTGTTGGGGCCCGGGGCCTGATCCCTCTCTCGCGTTTGCACTTGTGCCCCGCCTCTGTGCTTCCTTCTTCCTTTTGTCGATGATCTGAACTGCCGATTTGGCATGAGCTTGGCCCATTTCAGACTGGCCGCGCGATCGCGCGTGATAGCCAACAGCCAGCCCAGCAGCGATTTAAGACTAAACGGCACCGTTGAGGCTTTCTAGCAATAACATGCAATAACTGTAAACGGCAAACAAAACTTTGTTCACAGGCAGCTACAAGCTGGAATGGGACGAATAAATTCAAGGTAAGTGGACAGGTAAGTTTGCCAAGCAGGCAAGTAAGTGACTGCACGAGACTCGCCTCCGAGCCAGCCCCTCTTAACCCTCGTTCGAGCCCAGCGATTAAGGCAAACAACATTCAAAGAAGCGACCAGCAGCTGACAGCATGGTTAGGATGCCATCAGCTGCCACAATCTGTGGGTCATGCCCGGCTCTCCATGATGTCGTTCACCCCTGCAATAAGCCTGGCAGCGAAGCCAGTGCAAGAACCTATGAAATTTCCACTTACGACAGAACAGTACAGCAGAATACAGTTTCGAAACGTGTGTACTACAGCAGAATACAGTTTCGAAACGTGTGTATGTCATCTTGCCACACCGATACTCTTTTTCCCCCGCTTCTCCCCGGCTGCCCCTCCTCAACTGCATGTGCTGGCGGTACTCGGCATCACGCGTTTGTCAACATCTGGTGCTCTTCCATACCGGTAGGGCTGTCGACTGCGAAAGCGTCAGTTTGCGAGAAGTGCGGTAGGATTCCTGGCGGATCGGCAATGCAGACGACCGGGCCTCCCGTTTCATGCGACACCTCGATCCGTGTCGCAGGTAGTACGGAGTGCTTCGTATCGCTGTTGAAAGGGGATGGCATGGGATGGCGCTGAAACATCGCTTTGCTGCAAGATGCCGTGCGAGGTTCTTGACTCCACTTGACGCACAGTCAATGTGGTCTACGCACTGGCCTCTTTTGCTGCTGCGAGGCCTGCTTGACCTTGCTGAAGCCCTGGAAATCGACACCCCGTGGCTTCTTATGGGAGTCAGTCGAAACGCTCCCCTTTTAGAAAAAACAACACGTGGTCAATGAGGAAACCCTTTTGTTTGGTTTTTGGCCCTCGGATGGTGTAGAGTCTAAGCGGCTTGGTGCTACGGAAAGAATTGAACATACCCTTTTGCCCTGGTGTGGATGTGGGTGGGGGTGGGGGGTGGGCGGTGGGAGGGTGGGCGAGGGGGGGGGGGGTTATGTATGTGTATGTGTCCTATTTACTGCCAAACTGATATGGATATGGGTTCACATGTGACAAACACACACACACACACACACACACACGCGCACACACACCCACGCACGCACGCACGCACGCACGCACGCACGCACGCACGCACGCACGCAAGCAAGCA